TCTGATTCTCCTCATACCTTTGGCAAAATCGTTCACACTTCATATCAAAAGTTATCTGCAAAAAGGAATACAATATTGCCATCACCTGACTGCTTTGTGCTATTGCAAACAGTAGACTGATGTATCACATTCTGTTGTGACATAGTGTTTTAGATGTCTGCTTCTATAACGTCATTAACTCTTCCCCGCGACAGAGCCTTTATAGGGAAATCAGTAAATTCACATGGTGGTGGGCTGGTCTTTGTGTGTGGGTGCGGGCCTTGCATCAGTGTGTGACAGCTGTGACTGAGTCTCCACAGAAAATCCATGCTTCCCTCAACTTCTTAGATCAGATTGTGTCTTCTATTAAAACTCTCCCGCCAGGTGCAGCATTTTAGTAATAGCAAAAAAAAAGGAAAAAAAAGAAAAGTCTATCATCTATGTGCAGATGTGTGGGGTAAAGATGCACATGTGGATACAAAGTCACAACAGCTGAACGTAAAAACTGAAGCTCTCACTTTCTGCATGAGAGTGAAGAAGTGTTCTGGTGAGAGTGGGCTGTGGTTATTGTCGAAAAAAGAAAAAAAGAAAAAGAAAAGATGAAGCTACTGTTTTTGTCCTGAAACAGGAGTATCCAGTCTGTTTGCTTTGCCTGAGGGCCTCCCAGTGTGTCATAACAGACACGCTATGAATGAACATTTAGCGTGACAGACAATTGAAATGATAACTTCCCACACTCTGGAGTATTTGTGGGCATACGTGCTGGAGAGTGTGTGCCTCTGAGTGTTTGTGTGTGTGTGTGGGTGTGTGTGTGTGTGTGTGTGTGTGTGTGTGTGTGTGAGCATCCTTATGTATGAAAGGTACCATATGAATAAAGCTTGACCAGTCTTGACTCCACTGTTATTCAGTTGCTGACATTAATAAACTCACTGAACCGTGACTTCTATGATGTGGGGAACTACAAGAGACTTCTGAGTGGTAGGGCTTTGGACGTAGCCCCCGCCAAGGTGTTCAGTTCCTGAGACAAAAGCGAACAAAAGGCCTAATGGATTTATGGGTCCATTGCCAGGACCGCATGACGCCAGAGGCAAATTGGGCCTCAGCACCCACCTGGCTGTCTGGCAGCAGAATCAGGTAATAGCCCGGTCCTGCAATGCCATGCAGATAGATCAATGCACTATCTGCGCACAAGGACTCAACCTCCTGGGGCAGAAGTTGATTTTCAGTTGACTTTTTGGTGCTAGAAGTCATATTCAAACTTTTCTACTTCTACAGAATGTTAAATAAAAGATGTGTTTTTCTTGCTCTCGCTGCGCGAAGTCGCCATGGTCACTGTGTAATGATGCGAGCTGTCCATATTTTTCTGTGCTTATTGTGACACCTACATGAATTCCTGCACATTTACTGTGCCTGTGATCTATCTTCTGATGTTATGGTCAGATAAACAGAGTTATTTTGCACAGATGGGTTTCACTTGCAGCCCAGCCTGAAGAAATACAGACAGTGGGACCTATGCAGTGTTAATGCATGTGATCACAGAGTCAGTCGACTGCAGGTGAGTTAGGGTTAGCACATTTACACCCACAAGTCTAACATCTAATGTCTAGGTTGTGATGCACGACAAAGGATGTGCCCTCAGGCTCCCCCATTTGTCTCCATCTGACTCAGAGAAGCAGCCTTTGTAGCACTGTAGTGGGTATGTACACCAAGAGAAGCAAGTCTCTATTTTTAGAGCGAGAGCGCCACATCTTTAAATGAAATAGTCTGCTGTCTGCTGTCTACCAGGCCATTGCAAAGGCTTGTTCCACAGAGGCTTTTAATTAGGTGGTTCTCTGAGATCAGCAGAGGGAGCCACAACTCTTATCTGAGACTTCCTTTTCTTTGTGAAGACAAAGCGTGGCTGTGTGACAACTGAAAAGGCAGACTGCAGCGTGACCACCCACCCTGCAGTCTGGACCACAGCCTGAGCAGTCTGAGAGGAGTGCACACATCCTACCTACAGTTTCAGAAAACACAATCAGGATGACAAGCGCTTCCCTCAAAGTCAATCTAATCCACAGACATGGAAAGCAATAAGTCTGGTTTTTGATTCTAGTCCCCCCGTGTTCATTAAAAGTAATGAATGCAAATATATGCTGTCTTTTGGAGGTGCCGACATCTGTGTACACTAAAGTGCAACATTTCACCTCAGCATTACCTCGGTTATAAACCTAAAGGTTGTCATGTAAGCCTGAGTACAAATCCAAATAACAAGCAATGCTTCTGGTACTCTGGGTTGCAGATTAGATTCCTGACACTGAGGCCAAAACAGTGCATGACTGTATCCTGTATCCTCCTGAAATGTGATAGCCATTTATTGTATTGGAAAGTTGATATTCTTCTCCATATGCAGACAACGTGTAATGACTCTGGGACCAAGCCGGTCTTTAGATGTGCTTTTAAATTCTAGATTTTTCCATATGTGATGATGATGATGATGTTAAAAACGGCTGGGACACAAGTGTCATATTTAGTTGTGGTGATGGAAGCCATTGAGTAAAACGTGTCACTGACTAATATATACTATAACCATCCTGGCAGTAGGAGTGAAACACAGAAGCTTTTACACTGAAAACAATCGTATCTATTTTAGGGTAACTTACTGTACTACACACGTTTGTTTTACCTTTTTACAGGAAACTCAGCTGCTGTCAGTGTCTCCTGCTGCACCTCCTGCTCTTTGTTTTGTCAAGGATTGGTATATCTGGGAGGTTTCAGTGGGCCTCAGTGATGGGCCTCCCTCCCTTTCACATAGTGCATGCCCACAAGAGGGAGAGTTATAAGATTTATACACCACTCTGTTCACAGGCCAAATGTGACGGATGAAACAGGGGCTGAAACTCAATAAAAGATGAAATGTGGTAAAAATAATACAGCTTTTTTTTGATATGCTACATTTACAGGGGATCTGTTTTCCACTGTGCCCCAAGACACACCAATACACACAAAGACACACACACTCACACACACACGCACACACACACACACACACACACACACACACACACACACACACACACACACAGACCTGCCACCTTCCCCTAACTGCATGCGACATGAGTGATACATATGAGCACCTGAGGGAGTATCTCGCTACAGTATACATCCTGCTGGTGGTGTACAGTATTTATTGTGAAGAGTGCATCCTCTCTGCAGGCAGCTTGCGTGTTAAAATCCAGCTAACAATATATCACTAGTGCACTTTTAATCAATAAGAAAACATTTGCAATATTGCTCTCGCTTTGAGTGGTGAGAGGTGTGTGTAAGCGAAGCCAAATTCATTGCAAAGTAGAATTTCTAATGATTAAACTGAGTGCTCCGCTGGACTGGCTCTAGTCTTAGCAGCTGAGAGCCACGGAGACAGGAGGATAATGTAGTCTAGCTCAAGGCGGGGTAAACCAAGGACAAGGAGGAGGATGGAGAGGGAGAGGAGAAGGAGATGCATATAGTTCATGTACCACATGTGCAGTTATTAGCATAGGGTAGAATCCCCAAGATGATGCAAAGTGTGTTCAAAGTGTGCTTCATCCACTCCTGTGAGGGTTGTTGTCTAAATCTGTGTGTGCGAGAAGAGAATACCAATAGAGAGTGTGCGTGTTTGGTGTTCATCGGTGTGATAGGGATTACATCTCTGCAGATGCCTAAAGGAAGCCCTCGTTCTCTCCACCTCTTTGCCGGGTAAAAAACAGTCTGTCCTCATCCAAGGTTTAGTACAGTGAGATACTCCCCCCCCCCAACCGTTCACCCTCAATCTCTCTCTTTCTCTCCTTAATGAAATAATGAAATTGCCCTCTCTCTCTCTCTCTCTCTCTCTCTCTCTCGCTGTCCTGTGTGAGTTGACACTTGGCCAGATTCTTTGGTGCAGCAGACTAGCTGAGTCATAAAGGTTTCAGTGCACCCTGATTTATGGACAGTGATGTGGATGAGGGTGAGGCAGCAGGAAAAACACCGGTGTCAGCTCACTGATCACACAGAGACTGTAGGCACATCAGGACAGAGACGACCTGCTGACTTGAGATAAAGACAAAAACGCCACTGTAATTCATCTCTTTTAGTCTAGACTTCGGTTTAGCCAAGTCAAGAGAAACCTAATGTTGACAACTTGAAACTTAATTCTGTCTGATACTGTCTGATACTTGTTTCATTTCTTGTTTTTTCATGTTTTCTTTTTCATTTCCTGAAAAATAATAAAACAAGCCAGACTTGCTGACTTTGCTGTTTGCTGCAGCGCTCGCTTCCAGTCAGATTTATCAATACGGATAGAGGCAGGAGCTCTTTGGCAGCCATCTATGTACTTTTTCCATTAACCCCCATTAACATTCTGTTGAGAAAAGAAAGATTTTGTTATAAACCCTGAGTGAAAGAGGAGCTTTGGGCTAATTAGCAAGTAAAAATCTCCTCGTTTGCTTGTGAAAGTGAGTCACAGAGCGTGGACATTGAATATAATTTTCTGCTAATGCGTTTATTTGTGCTAAATATTACTTGATTTGACACTTCAGTGCAAATGTTCCTGTTTATAAATACAAATGAAAATCCTGATGCCAGCTCAAGGTTGTCAAGGCTTCAAGGCTTTATTGGAATTCAATGCAGCACATCATGGACTAAAAGCACTCAGTGAGTAAGGCATTTCAAACTGGGTATTGCACATACAGACAGTCGTGTTACAGGCATGTTTTGGTGGCAGTAAAGCACACAGGTGTTTGCAAACACATCTCCACAAAGCAGATTTTCTACTCCGGACACATCCTGTCATCGTCAGTTAATTGATTAGCTTTTAAGTAGTTTAATTTCTTTGCCGGCACAGTGTGCATGTGTGCGTACATGCTATAAGTCACTCGAGTTGATCATACACAGGGTAGGTTCACTGACACTTCTGATTTCAAGAGATTCTCATTTGGTTTGACTGAGACAAACATCTCTGTATGTAGAGCACCGGAGATCCTTTAGCTACAGGCTAGCGGGTGTTTTTAAAGCATGTAAATTTAAACTTTTTTATCTGTTGGTTTTTTCTCTTCAGCCTCCACCTCCTCTTCTTTTTCACCTCCTGCCTCCTTCTGCTCAGCCTCGGCCTCTTCTTGGGGTTGGCTCTCATCTCCTCCTTGCTCGTCATCTTCTTTTGCTTCATCCTCTGCCTCACCCTCTTTATTAAAAAAATCACGTGAGGGGGGATAAAAGTTAGAATTAGTTTAGTACTTCACACATGCATATGTTAAATAAGTAAAATCACCACACTAACCTTGTTCATCTGCTTCTTCCTCTCCTTCCTCTTGTTTTTCCTCCTCCTCCTCCACTTCCTCCCCCTCTTCTCCCTTCTCTTCCTCTTCCTCTGCCTCCTCCTCCTTCTCTTCTACCTGCTCCTCCTCCTCTTCCTCCTTCTCTTCCTCTTCCACTTGCTCATCGTCGTCTTCTTGAGGGGCGCTGGCCTCCGCCTGCTGTGCTTGGCTTGCGGATATTGTCTCCTCTTTGAAGAGTGATGAAGTGTACAAGCGGGAGCTCAGCAGGTACGGAGCTGCAGAGCTCAGCTGAGCCTGCATGGAGATCTGTGTTCTTCCATAAGACGGAACAGCATACATGGCCTGGGAGTAGGCGGTGACAGACCCCATACTTGCCACATTCAAACGGTTCTCTTCTCCTTCAAGGAGCTTCCTAATGGAACAAGACACATGAAAGAAAATAGTGAGCTTTTCGTGATTAAAAATCAGAATTATAACACAATATGCAAAACACAGAAAGGAATCAAAGCTATATTGATGATACTATTGACCTGTAGGCTGCAATTTCAATATCCAAGGCCATCTTCACATTCAAGAGGTCCTGATAATCTTTCAAGTAGCGGGCCATGTCATTCTTGTTTGCCCTCAACTCTTCCTCCAGTTGACCTATTGTATCCTGTATAGAAAAAAAATAAAGTGACATGTTAGTCGCACATTATGGGCAGGATGAAAAATCCAATAACTGAAAATGCGGAGTGACTCATTTCAATTGTGAAAACACACAGAAAATCGTTTCTATGTCACTACAGGTAATTTTCAGTTTTTGTGTTTGCAGTGGTATGTGCAGCCCTGTTCCTTTACTTCAGAGTCTGTCTGTTGCCTCACCTGCAGTGCAGAGATCTCAGCACTCTGTTTTTCCTCCACATCCTGCAGCTGATTTTCCAGAGCTTGGTTCATCTCACGGCAGGCATCAATCTCCAGCGTCCTGGTTTTGAGGAGCTGGCGGTATTCTCCAGCCTCATCTTTGGTATGTCTTGCACTCTCAGTGTTGCGAACAGTGCCTACTGTCATCACATTCATCTTGTTGCAGAACCACTCTTCGGCTGACTGAAGGTTGCGTTGGGCCAGCTTCTCATACTGCATTCGGATGTCACGGAGAGCAGCAGACAGGTCAGGTTTACTGACCTCCATTTCCACTGACACATCTGCTCTGTACTGTATTTGGGCCTGCAGCTCTGCAATCTCACTCTCACAGAGGCGCTTCAGGAAGTCCAGCTCATCCAGCAGGTTCCTAACTCTTTTCTCAAGCTCAGCCTGGCTCAGTGTAGCTTCATCTGCTCCCTTCCTGGCATCCATGAGCCTGCCCTCTGCTTCTGCTCTGCCGAGCACTTCATCCTCATAGCGCTTTTGCAGGTCCCTCAGCACATCTTCCATCTCATCCCTGTGATCCTGGGCAGCTTGCTTTTCATGGCGAGCCTCATCTACAGCAGCTCGGAGCTGGCGGATCTCATGCTCATACAGGGCCCTGAGGTTGGATGGCTCCGTCTGCCTCTGCCTGAGCAGCAGAAGTTCAGTCTCCAGCAACTTGTTCTGCTGCTCCAGCTCATGGACCCGCTCAATGAAGCTTGCAAAGCGGTCATTCAGGCCCTGCAGCTCAGCCTTCTCCTGGGTCCTTAGTGTTTTGAACTCAGAGCTGACCTGGGCTGCTTGGTCAAGTCGTAGCTCAGTGGCAGCTGCGGACACTGGAGCAGAAAGCACAGAGGAGTAGCTGGAGGTAACTCGGGCATGAGTTGGATAACTTCTGCGTAGCGATGCATAGGAAGTTAATGGGGCTGCATGGCTGGAGTAGGCAGACCTAGAGCCTATTCCTCCACCAGCTCCATATCCTGCACTGCGCACCACCACTCTCCTCTTGTAGGAAGAGGAGAAGTACGGGTCAAAGCCGGTGGAAGTCATGACTTCAGAGACGGGCTGCTCTCTGTCTAGGAATGTGGCTGGGTTGACTGCACAGTGAATCTGCATTACTCTGGCTTTTATAGAGCCAGTAATGACTGTGACGTCAGCTATTTTTTTCCGGCATGCTGACAGAAGGAATTGATAATGGTGCCAGCCAGCCAGTCTGAGCCAAGGGAAAGATGGGGTGGGGTAAGAATCAGTGTTGGGGGTGGGGGAGGCGGGGATAAGCGGTGGAGCAACAAGGGACTGCAACGGCCAGGGTCACTGAGGACAAAAACAGTATACAGTTACTCCTAAAAACTGCAGAAGTTGTTACAATTTGCCACCATAAATCCTGACAATGACATAATGTGTCTGTCATGTAACTCTTGAAATACTGCATGATGGAGGAGGGGGAGGAAAACCACCTTCTGTAAAAGATGACACTGCCTTGCACCATTTTGCATTGTCTGTGTTCTGTTAGGCAGAACATCAATGAGAAAATTATTACAGTCTAAATATTCCAATGCAATACCACAGGTAGTCAATGTAAAGCAAATCAGCTGAAGACTTAACATTTTGGAAAATCCTGTGAATAAAAAAAAGACCTCATCTCAGAGAAAACATTTTATACTATTATAATAAAAGTTTGCCCTCTAGTGGTTATCTGTTTACCATGCAAGTTACACATAAGTACCTGCTATGTACTGCACCTTACTTTCATTATTCCGTGATTTAACCTATATAAACCGCATATTTTACCTAATGTCTCAGAGACTATTGTAGGGTTGTGACTTACATGCTGTTGAAACAGTGTAGCTATAGACAATGTTGTTGCATGATTGAAAATTAAGAAAATAAAATAAAATAGAAAAGACATTGTTTTCACCCTACTTTTTGGAAAAGATTTGGATTGGTTCAAGCTGCAAGAACATTGAAAACTGTCCTGCACTGGCTATACAGGCTGCTAATTTGATCCCCCTTGTACTTTAATAAACATAGCATTAAGTATCAATTCATGAATTTCCCCTAGGGGATATCTCTCTATCTATCTATCTATCTATCTATCTATCTATCTATCTATCTATCTATCTATCTATCTATCTATAGGCTAATGTCTGTATTTTAAGCAATGATTTCACATTATTTTGACAGATTTGAAAACTTAAGTTAAATTGTTAATTTTGTACATAAAATTCCAATGATTACTTTTTGTAGCTAATTGGTAACATAATTTACCATTGTGCTTAATGACATTTCAGTAGTGTGTGTGTTGATGGTGTGGTTAAACCAACATCGTAATATATGATTGGTCACTTTAATACACCCTCAGTGTATTGACCAATGAGAGACGACTTTACTACTTGGCGGGTAGCAAATGTCGTGCTGTGACGCAAACGCTCCCAACGTTGACAACAACAAAGGATGGGGAATAAATGAAGTTTCAAACTTGCTTTGTGCTTCATGTCCACTAATGACCGCAGTGTTTGGGGATTTTTGTGCCATGCTACAGTGATAACAACGTTGCAAATGCAATTAAAACCAGAATGAACGGTAGGTCAGGCGCCCAGCTTTGCAAGTGATGGTCACCCGGTGAAACAGTAGCTAACGTTAGCTCATCTGATGTGTAAGCTAATAAAAGCTAGCCGAGGCAGTAATGTGAGCTGTTAGCTAGTTAAATCTGTTATCCCGTGAGGAACATACATTTACCACCTGCAGTTTGGAGCCGTGTTTGAATTATTCACCAGTGAAGCTGTACACTAGCTCAGAACAAACTGCAGCAATGTCTCACCGCAGAGCTAAGCTAACCAGGCTAAGTTTTGAGTGAGATTTGGGGAACGTTAGCTAGTCTGTCCCAAGCCCCCCTCGACAACTGCTCTTCTCTCTGAGGAGATAGGGTTAATTTAGTCCGAGAGACAGCATTACTCAAACTGAATGAAAAATAGAGAGGGTTTTGGAGGCGAGGCAGTTGACCGGCTTTGGTAAATGATAGAGTTGGCAGCAGCCTGGGGAGTCTGTAGGGGACTGACTGGTGATGGGACGTACAATATGATATTCTCTTTATGTCTTATTCTCGTAACGTCACATTTGCTTTCTCTGTTGCTATCTTAGCTGCTTTTATCTTTCCTTGCTCGGTTCCTATTCATTTCTATAGATCCATTCAAAGTCTGAAAACCGTGAGAGTGGAAGCCCTGCTTTCCTGATATTAAGATGGTAAGGCTTTTTATCACTGAGTGGTTGCTCTTTGTTTTGTATCAGTACATCTTGTGATTTTGCAGACTATTCAGCTCTCGCTAGCGCCCCTTCCTCACTAATACATCTGCTTGCTAAAGGGTTTGGCCTCTTTTTCTGTGTTGTTCTTTACAGATTCGCATAGCAGCACTGAATGCTGCTGCGACAGCTGCAGATGAGTCTCAAGACCCTTTGAGAAGTAACAAGAGTCAGACGAAAGAGGCTCAGGTACAGAGCATATAATAATGAATCAGCAATATGTGGCATCTGCACTGCTGCAGTCTTTTTCTTCTGTGCAAGTAATAAGTTGTTGTTTTTTATTTTTGTCCACAGGAAGCTGAGGCTTTTGCTTTATATCACAAAGCTTTAGATCTTCAAAAACATGACAAGTTTGAGGAGTCTAGTAAGGCCTATCATGAGCTTCTCAAAACTCCACTGCTCAAAGAGGTAAAATATCACACAGTATATAATCCCATCAAAGTTATCAAAACGTCTTTGCTAATATGCTTGTGCAGAACATCCAGAATACAGTGTATCAGGGTGTAATTGAGAGCAGTTTAATACTCTCACAGAATCCAGGTTATACACCCCTTTTAGTCAGTGAGGCGGATCACTTGTTTTGGCTTAAGATGAATCTGCATTACTCTGTGGTTGGTGCCAAATTTGATGTATCCTCTAATATCTTAGGCCATGCCTTCCGATGATCAGAGAGTGGGTCTCAAGCATCCTGGACTGATGTTGAAATATTCTACTTTTAAAAACTTGGCCAGCATGGCTGCATCGCGGGATGACCTGGAGACCGCCATGGAATTTTACTTGGAGGTGAAACGACAAAACTGTGCCAGTTTAATACTTAATTATCATTCTTGGCATCACACCACTTTGTGCAACTAAATGCGTCTTTAATGCACATGAATAACACTGCAGTGAATGTTAATACCATATTTTCTACTCTGTTCTTTTCTCAGGCTGTCATGTTGGATTCCACAGATGTGAACATGTGGTACAAAATTGGTCAGGTGGCTGTGCGACTGGTGCGAATTCCTCTCGCTCGACATGCCTTTGAGGAGGGATTGCACTGTAACCCAGATCACTGGCCCTGCCTTGACAACCTCATAACTATTCTTTACACGCTCAGTGACTACACCTGTAAGTAATACATGATCATAAGCTCTTTGCTCTGCACTCACTGTCATTACCATTACAAGAGCTCAAGTACAGAAAGTGAAGTTACTGGCATCTGTGTACATTTTTCTAGGTTGCCTCTACTTCATCGCCAAAGCCTTAGAGAAGGATCATTGTTACACTAAAGGCCTGGTGCTGAAGGAGAAAATCTTTGAGGAGCAGCCATGTCTGAAGAGGGACACGATGCAGATGTTCATGAAATGGTGAAGCCAGCTCACATTTTATTTCTCCGCCTGTTTAGAATGTGTTGTAGCTGTGACTCCATACTTTCATATCACTGACGGATCTCTGCTGTGGTGTGGGGGTTTTATTTCCAGCGATATGTCTATTCATTATGTGGAAGTGGAGGAAGAGGAGCGCAAATCCATTGTGGAAGAGGCCCTGGAGATACGGAAACGCAGACAGGCGCTATCTCACTGTGAACCAAAACCAGACCTTGTCCTGATTCAGCCCATCCGCTGCCTCTCGTGAGTGCTGAGCTGTTATGTCTCTGAGAACTGTCTTGTTTTTTTCCTGTTTGGGCGGATTAGTTTAAATTGGCCTGTCACTTTTGAAAATATTTTAAGTGAGAATAACAGTCAAGAGTTGAGCATATGATATGCCTCTCTGAGGATAGACCAATTAACACTCAGCAAAGTTTTCTTACAACGCTTGAAAATGCAGAAACAGCATATACTGTACTGAAATTCGTGGTTGAGCTCCACTGACATTGAAGTAATTGTTTTCTGGCCTAAATTTTGTGAACCTTTTCTAACCTTTACTGCCGAGGGTTGTAATATCGGGTTTTACCCATATTTGTTTGTTTGTTTGTTAAGACAGTTTGTGCTAATATTAATGAGCGTTTTTTATAAATCTTTTTAATCTCAGATGGAAGCATGTGGGTGAAAGCCTTCTTGCAATGTACAGACATCAGACCACATGTGAGCCACCGCGTCCGAGTCTGGGCCGCAGGATTGACTTGTCAGAGTATAGTGACCCAAACTTCCTCCAGAACCTCCCCCAACCTAGCAGTCCTGTCAGTATGGGCCAGACCACTGTGCTGAGTAGCAGCCCCAGCTCATCCCTGCCTCCAGTGGTCCTCTCTGAGCCAATAGTGCTCCCCCAGCCCAGCACTCAGCTGCAGATTACCCCCAGTCAGACCACTGTGGAAATCACCACTTCTGTTCACCCTGTTGGTTAGTTCATAAAAAAAAAATTCTCTTTTACTCTGCCTACATTTGATAAGTAATTATAAGCTTTTGTAGTAATTGTAAGTGCAACTGTATAACCAAGTATTTCCAGAATTGAATGTCTTTTTTTTTTTTTATCCTACTGTATGTTCACAGCTACAGCGGTGGAGGTTTCCCTGACAGATAAAGTGAAGAAAGCGCCAAAAAGGAAACGTGGGATGGAAGATAGTGGGGAGACGGCCAAGCGGCGCTCAGCACGTGTTCGTAACACAAAATGCAAGAAGGAAGAGAAGATTGACTTTCAGGAACTGCTTTTTAAATATCTACCCTCCAGGTAGCTTACACTAAACCAAAGATAATATCCATAAATGCACAGCTTGTTATAGTTCTTTAGAATTAAATGCTGTTTTGCTCGTTTGTCTTAGGCTAAAGAAGTTTGATCCTGATAATGATGAGGAGAGTCTGAGTAATCTTGAGACACAGTGTGATGGGAAGGAGGACATACAGCCTCTACATGGGAGTTGCTTGCCTGTTGACTCAGTTGAATACATGGAGTCTGGTATGTAGTGCTTTGTGGATACGTATTTACAATACACTGTTGTGCTGTCTGTCATATTAATAACGTGTGTATTCCCTTCTGTAGAGCAACAGGATGTCCACAAATACCTGCTTGATAATATGACCAATGGTGGTATACTGGACCTGATGATGCGCTATCTGAAAGCTGTGGGTCAGAAGTTCATTAAGGAGTGGCCTCGAGGGCTGACTGCTGTGGTGCTGGAAGTCTATCAGACCTGGAGGAAGCACAGTAGTGGTCTTCCTAACCCTCTGCTTCGGGACTGCAGCAACCAACACATCAGGGTAAATGACAAGAAAACTGTTTTTTAAATTTGTTGTTGGTTTTAGACTCACTAGACAGAAAATATCACTGAATGCAATTTGCACGAATGAGCCAGTGAGCAGCTTTATATCCTCTGGCAGGTCTTTACTTACTGCTCCAAACTCCAGACTGATAACAAAGGGGGACCAGGCCTTTGTAGAATAGCCTGCTAGAGGATCCGAGGCTCACAGATTCAGAACACACTTTAAAATCTCTTTTAAAAACTTGTTGTTGTTGTTGTTGTTGTTGTTGATGTGCTTTGTCGGTGTTGTCTTTTATCCTTTAGCACTCATGTTTTCAATTTTCTTTTGCCTTATTATGTATGCTTTTGTTTTGTGTTTGGTTTATAAATGTGCAGGCAATGTTAATTCCTTAACTATCATTATTTTAATAGGTTAATTTTAGTGTGATATGAAATGGTAAATGTTTGTTGTACATGCATCTTAAAGATTGTTTATGGTGTGTGTTCAAATTAAAACATTGGTGTTGTGCCAGATAATTCTGATATTTCTAGAGTCACTCGGGATCTAGTTTTGGGAAGGGCTGTGCACTCCAGGGTCTAAAAGAAGTAAAAATTTTCTGAAATTGGGACCAGGGACATAACTATAGTTTTTCATCAAAATTGGCCCCAATGATCTCTAATAAGTGTTATTATCTGCTAAATGTACAGGAAATGGTGACGATGAGCTTAGCGTGTATGGAGCTACAGTTGGAGCAGTGGTTACACAAAAAAGGGAAGACTGGTAAGTACCAGTGAGCTGATTGGACTTCGACAAAGTTTGGTTTAGTGATGCATCATAGTGCTGTGGAACCCGCAGGTGCTGCAATGTTTGTACCGTGTCATATTTCATATCACAAGTAGCACTTACAACATTTTACCTAATGTGATGTCATTGTTGCTTTTTTGTATTTTAAAAAATTAACTGATTGGCCTGAACATGGCACTGCAATCACAGTCCTAAACACAATGACCTGTGGGATTTGTTAAATATTAGTGAGTCACATGTGTGGAACAACATGTTTACCCTTGGCTTATGACAATATTTCTTTCCTTGTCTAGTGTCTCCAAGAAGAAGCAGCGTTGGTCCTGGCAATGACACAGCTGACTCAGAATTCCCTGGGCAGCATTTCCAGGGTGATTTATTACTCCTGGCCCTAGCTTCATCCCAAAGAGACCTGTTTGAGGATGACTGGTTGGATGTCATGGTGCGTGTCTACTGGCTCAAGGCACGATTCTTGGCCCTTCAGGTAGGAACTCCTCTTTGTATTTTTACAAACTTTTCGTTCCATGAGCCCTTAAAACTCAGCTCAACCAGATGTGACTTGTAAGTGTGTCTTTCTTATCTTTTTTCAGGGAGACATGGAGTTGGCACTGGAGAGCTATGATGTCTGTATAGGTTTGTTGCAGAGCAAACCAAAGTCCACTGAAGGGAAACATTACACCATCAACCTGCCTAACCTACGTGTAGATGCAGCGATCTCTGTGGAGGAGGTCAGTGTTTTCATGAGTTATGAGAAGAAAAAGTTTCCAGTCTATACTATACCATTAAAGAATGTGTGAAACGCTAAGAAGCAAAATAATTCTGTTTTTTTTTTTTCAGCATAATGGTATATTACTTTTAAAAAATGGACTATTAGCAAGTCTTCTGAAGGCTTCTAGCTTTTTTGGGTTTAATTTCGGGTGTCTTGTGTCTCCTTTGACAGATCGACAAGAGGCTGAAGTCTCTGGAGCGTTGTCAGTCTTTGGAAGAGATCCAGCGACTCTTTGAGTCTGCAGACTTTGAGTCTGTTGTACGTCTGCTGCAGCCCACTCTTAATTATGGCAGCAGGAGTAAACCCCTAGAGTTTGTGAGCTCAGCACCAGAGCGGCCTGCTCAGCTAATGCTATTGCAGGTTAGACATGCAACAATAATATTGATTGAACATATATATCTTTTGAATTGGCCGATGGTTGACACTTATCATCCTCTGAATTAGAACTCGCTGTTGAAGCTGCAGGACTACCAGCAGTGTTTGGAGTGCAGCGAGCTGGCTCTGAATGAAGCCCTGCAGCAGCTCAACTCTGCTTCAAACAGCTCACCGCCTAGTAAAGAGGAGTGGGTCAGCACCATTGGAACATTGCTGGATGGCACCGAGGTCTGCTTCACCAAAGACTTACAGCTTCTGAGCAATGTCCCCCATTTCTCTAGCATGGCTCGACTGGCAAACAACCTAATTCAGGTTAGAGAGCTAAAGACAACACTAGTTTTCTGGAAGAAACAGTTATACTGATACTATAACAAGAAACTGATAAGCGTTTGTGTTGTTTCTGTTGTGTCTTCAGCTGATTGATCTTAGCATGACCATTTCCGACGATCCCAAGGAGCCTTATTTCTTCTCGGTTCTGCCGTGGATTATACTGTATCGCATTATCAAACATGAGGAGGCAGCTTTTGACTGTATGCTCCGTCAGCATATGTCTGTAGGGGATGATGAAGGTTTGTTTTAATGCCTTTGGTTTTCTCTTGGTGTTCATGCCACGGTACCTGTTGCAGTGACTGACCCCATCAAGTCTTGCTTTCAGATGACTCAGACACTCCGATGCTGCCCTCCTCCCTCATGCTTCTGAACACAGCCCATGAGTATCTTGGCCGTCGCTCCTTGTGCTGCAGCTCAGACGGTGCACTCCTCAAGTTCTTCGTAAGTTTGTTTGTAGACCTCTCTCTCTAGAACTACTGTGATCTGACCAAGGTGATATGTGAATGTACAGCTTGCATACATGCCTTTTGATATCAGATTATAATAATTATTCTATATGCCATGCATTCTTGCTCTTACATAGTTACATAAAACAGCTGTAGACCCCAAAATTGTGACTAAATTAATTTGTATAGGCCATTTGAACAGTTTGACCAAGCTTCATTCTTATGTTTTGCTGGAGGTTCGAGTTCTGGAAAAAGAATTTGCAGCCTCTTCCAGCAATGATGCTCATCCCTACAAAGAGGAGTTGGAGATGGCGTTGGAACAGTGCTTCTTCTGCCTGTATGCATACCCCAGTAAGAAGAGCAAGGCCCGCTACCTTGAGGACCATTCATCTCCACAGGTCAAACACTCAGAAGTCTTTCTTGTCACACCTTTGATTTAGTTTATCGTAATTTGTTGCATGGACTTTAAGTGACTCAATCAAAGTCTACTAGGTTAATCTCAGCAACAAAGGTTAATCTCAGCTAAGCTTGCTTGACCTATTTTAAACAATGTTTTATTTAATTGAAAATTTAAAACAAAAAAAGTAGCTCAAGGTTTTGAGTAAAGTATGATTTCTCACATGTAATGGCGAACACACATAAATAGTGTTTGAACAGCAGCAGACGTTGATGTTGATGACGCAAACATGTTCCCTCACTGACCCTCACGTCACAGAGGATGTCTGCTTTATCCATTAATGTTGTTTTGTTGGCTTGCAAGGTACGCACGTCTGGTGTCGTTGAAATAAACGAAGGCCATGAAATAGCTTTAATGGCATAATAGCATTAATTTACTGAGTGAGAAATGTGAACACGTTTAGATAAACCACAAACAACAGCAGTACAACTTACTCTTTTGCTTTTATTTAGTATTTGTTGGACTATTCTGTCTCTACCTTTTAGAGCCCTTTCACTTCTCCAAAGAAACTCCTGAAATACAAAAACATTTTTTTTATCTTGCGTTTGTTTACTTTCGGAAGCAAGGATTCTTGGTGAATAGATAGATTTGATGTACGTTTGAAAAATGAAGATCAGAGACAGTGTCCCAAGTCTGATATCATCATGAGATAATATCAGCTGCACCCCGTGGTCTCTTATATTTTTGTAATGCATGCGTCCAGCCACCAGGTGGGTGTCATCCCCACAGTTGCGCATCAATACATTTAGATGACTGGCAGTCTGACTGTATTTATGCAATACCACACTGCAAGAGACCTTGTTGCCACTAATTTGCTCTGGTGCTGTGTATTACACTCGAGTACAATCAACTATGTCACTCATGTTTCCTGTGGAATTAATGTGTGTTTTGCAGGTTGAGCTGCTGTGGAGTGAGGCCCTCTTCATGTTCCAGTATTTCAAACCAAAGTCACTGCCTGAGTTTGACAGTTATAAGACAAGCACGGTGTCTGCAGAATTGGCTAATCTGCTGAGGAGGTTTGTTGGCATCGCTCCCCCAAGTGACACTCCCATCCTCACCATGGAAGAAGTGGCAGCCTACATCGAGGGCATGACAGAAAAGGTCAGTCAGTGGGCACACACTGACTGTGAGGGATCCAGTGAATCATACATGCTAAACAGTGTACTTATGTCAGTGGTGCTTTTTAAGCATTGCTTTGCCTTCATGTCACCTTTAACTTCACTTGCAAGTTTGAACTGAGAATCATGATTATTAGAGAAATGTTGACTTTTTATTTCTTTAAGGCCCCGTGCCTTCCTGAGGGGAGTGCTCCTGCACCTGCAATCATTAATGAGATCTACTACCTGCTGGCTGATTACCATTTCAAGAACAAGGAGCAGTCCAAAGCCATCAAGTTCTATATGCATGACATCTGTGTGTGTCCCAACAGGTAACTCATTTATCTACAACAGTGTCAATGCTTGTGCACAATACACAACAGAATCTGCTTTTTAATTAACATTGAAGGTAAAAATTTATGTTATGAATAATAGCAATTAAATGTGCATTTGTGGGGTTTCACATTCAGTACATTGAGTGCAGTGAGTTTATGAAAAGTATGTATCTTTCCTCAGGTTTGACTCCTGGGCAGGTATGGCTTTAGCTAGGGCCAGCCGCATCCAGGACAAGCTCAACTCCAATGAGCTGAAAAGTGACGTTCCTATATGGAAACACTCCCAGGCGGTGCTTAACTGTTTTAAGAGGGCCCTGGAGATAGACAGTTCCAACCTGTCTCTGTGGATCGAGTATGGCACCATATCATATGCCCTGCATTCATTTGCTTCGAGGCAGCTCAAACAGTGGCGCAGTGAGCTCCCCCCAGAGGTGGTTAAACAGGTGAGGCACATGAGCAGAGTTATCTTGGTGCTCATCATCATTCCCTGTCAGTTTATGTTAACTCCGCTTTAATGTCAGATTTGTGATTGTGAGCTAAACCAATGTCACATCCTGTTAGTTTTGCTTGTTACGTATATGAAATTCGTTGTAGAGTGAATTTATCTGGCACCTTGAGCTAAATTTCTCATTAAGGTGTGTGTGTGTGTGTGTGTGTGTGTGTGCGCGGTTTCAGATGGAGGAAAGGAGAGACTCAATGTTGGAGACAGCGTTCCAGTGTTTCCAGGGAGCTTCCCGTTGTGAGGGTGACAGCGATGAAGAAGAGTGGCTCATTCACTACATGCTGGGGAAAATAGCAGAGAAACGCAAACAGCCTCCAGTGGAATATCTACAGCTTTACAAAAAGGTAAACAGCTGTGGAGACCTTGGGCTACACATTTATCCAAGGAATTCAGTCAGTGATTTATGTTTGATAATAATCTTTGGTGTTGAGTGGTTTGTTTACTCTGGCACCAGGTAAAATGTGTCAGTTACTAATAACTTATCAGAAAATTAAAGTGTGTTGACTGGAACCTGTGTTAAAGGATATCCTGATGATTGATTTTGTAGTAGAAGTACTGTGTTCTCTCAGGGCAAATGCAGAAATACTGGGTTAAAATTTAAAACAGATCTCTAACACAATAATACACATAATGTAATGTGACCTGCACACTGTGTCTGTGACTTTCAAATTAATCCATTCCCTGAAGGTTGAAGTCTTCATTAAATAAGGAGTGCTTATACTTTCTGCATACCATCGTTTTTAATTATCTTCCCTTATTTTGCTTTATGAAACCAGATCATTTCTCAGCACTGCAGTGTGATGGACAAAAATCTGTCGAAGCCAGAGAAGTAGTGAAGAGAAGTTTGAAAATATTTGTCACGATGAAAACCAGGAAAATAAAAGGCAAAAATAAAAACCTTTAGTTGATATATAATTTTAATAAACCTTAAGTTAATTGCAGCCATTTTTCGTGCTCTCCGCAGAGTTGTTTTATAATCTGCCTACAGAAAGATCACTGCCCTGCCACCCTCACAAGATGTTTTTTTCCTAGTTAGAAGAACAATGTATGGAGTTAGTCATAGCTCTGTAGTTCTGATTAGATCAGCGGAGGCAGATGAACCTGTATGAAACACAGTGTCATTGGGGGCAGTGTGAACGTAGTGAACCCTCATGTCAGCATACATAGCTGTCTTCTACTCCTTATTGCACTCTCTCCCTCCATTTTACTAGTTAAGGAGTTGATTTATTGATGCCAGATGATGGTGTTGAATTGCTGACTCCCTCCTCTTTGTATTTCTAGGCAGCACACTATCTGCATGAAGAAGCTGCCAGGTACCCTCGGAAAATTCATTACCATAATCCCCCTGACCTGGCCATGGAAGCCCTGGAGGTAAACCACCTGTGGCTAGTAGCTCAAATGATACTGTATATAGATGATATACTGTATGTCACATTGATGCAGTGTAATGTCACATAACTGACTGAAAGCATTCACACTAACTTCTTTTTTCTAGTTGCATTTCCGTTTGAGCGCCACCATCCTAAAACTGCTAGAGGCAGTAGAGCCTGACCTGGAGCATGAGCTCTTGTTCACTTTGCTGGTTGAGGCAGCTACGGGGCCATTTGCGAGGGGTGAAGAGAAGAGTATGCCAAGCATGCCAAGGTCCCATGAAAAGTAAGCTTCATAAATCTTACCTGGCAGGAGTTATGAACGAGCATTTGATTTTATGGCCAAACATTGATTCTCAACATTGTTCTTGATTCACTGCAGAGAGAAACCCCCCTCCATGATGGATGAAGACTTTAATTGCACATCAGTTTGCATAGGGAACGTCCTCAGCTCATCCCTTCCGTCAGCTGCCACGCCAGGTCTGACATCCCCTGCTTACGTGGCCACGCCGTTTGACCACGATTACGCCAAACGCAAAACACTTCGACGGCAGCAGTGGCAGCAGCAGCGGCATGAAGAGCAGCAGGCTGATGGTACAGTCCCAGTCCTAGACACTGTCTCTGGGTTGGGCTCCTTGACCTTTCTGCACTGGGACAGGAAGCCCACTGGGGAGTGCTCAGATTGCTAATCACCATGCTTAATGGCTTCGGTTTCAGTTACAATGATCCCCATGCACTGGGTGATTGTGATGTGGTGAAATGGGCAATATGGCTACTGATTATTTGACTGATTTACTATGCCTGTCAAAACAGTGTTGAAACAAATAGATTTGAAGTGTGTGTGTGTGTGTGTGTGTGTGTGTGTGTGTGTGTGTGCGCTGGAATAACATCAATTTCTAGTCGCTGCTTTGTTGCTGTTCTTATTTTCTTTCCTTACCAATCATCTTGCCTCTCCTAATATGTTACAGTTGTTGCTAACTTCCTGCAGCTTATAACCTTATGGAGACATCTATGCAGTATTGCAGGCTTGTGTGGTTTTGAGCCTTAATCAGATGCTGTTGATATCACATCAAAAGAGCTGCAAATGATTGTTTCTTCACTGCGTTTAGCTCAGTTGGTTAAACAGAGTGGTTTGCAGTATCAGAGATCCTAGGTACTAATCAGGTTTTCCAGTAATAACCAAGTGTTGATTATACTGGTTACAAATTTTTTAGCAGGTGAAATCCTAATTATTATAACCTTTACTTATGCAGGTAAGTTATTTAAATCAAGAAAGAGAGTACGGCATAAGAAAATAGGACAGAGATAAGACAGAGAACAAACCGCCAGGCCAGCCACACACAAAAACATACATTACAGTCAGCATCAGAAACAGTCCCTTTCAATTAAATGAAATATTTAAGTTTTAAAGTTCTTTTGTAATTAAGTCTGTTTAAATGGTGAAAAGTGATAGAAGACAATCTTCCCCATGTCAGTATTTACCTGTAGGATATCAACTGCAGGCTGAAGAGATCACACTAAGTTTGTCTGAAAGCAGCAAAATTCTGGCAATTTGGGCTACTGCTTTAGAAACTACTTTCATGTTTGAGTACTCTACATGACAGCTCTGATAAACAGGAGAGTTTTCAGTGAGAGACAACCCACAGAGAGTTGTGTATTTTTCTCATGGCACTGGATATGAAAATCGAAAAATTTGTGTTTTTCAAGAACAGACCTGATAGTTGCAGGCAATAATGTGCAGGATGTACATTATTGCTTTCAGTCTATCTAGCACAGTGTACATCCAGACCAGTGTGTACAATGAACATAATAGCTGCCCTTGTTGTTTCATGCGCATTAACTATCTTTTGTGTAACCTCTTGTATGTGTTGCAGTCATAACTGTGTTTGTTTGAGTTTCTGAAAAGATGCTTTTCAGTATGCCTGAAAAAGTTTTAGTTGTGTTTTATTGTGTCAGAGTTAACCAAAAACAGTCTTCACATACATTTACTTTAGACATTTACTGAATATATGCAGAGCTAAAGCTGCCAGGAATTGAAATTTTCATCAGCTGTAACTCTGTGCAGGGTTTCAGGATTGTGAAACAGATAATATGCCATAATGCTGTTTGGAGAAAACAGTCCTGGCCATTCTTTCCATATGACAAAAACAGGGACATCTGTTCACCCACCCCATGTGTCATGTTTAGCTTGAATGTGCAAATAACGCAGCCATATTGCCCATGTTGCCAGTTTTGTCACCCTTTCCAGATTCCTTCCTACCTACCTACCTACCTGCCTGCTACCTCTTTGCCTGCTTGCTTTTACCACCTGCTTTGCCATGTATATGCATGTAGTTCAAATGGGGTGAATGTCTTCACGACTGGACAAAGTCAATCCTTTATCACAATCCACTAAATTGTCTGGTGTATCATGTGGTCGCATTTTATTTGACTTTGGTGTGGGCTTACTTTGACAAGAAAGTCAAACTCTCTGGAGATATTTCAAAATCTTGCCTGAATCGTGTGGTTGCTGTTTTCCACTAATTGGATATAATTTCCAATTATGACCAATTAGTGAGAAAATGTCAAGTCAGGAAGAATGTGGCTGGCCTATTTTTGCCTTACAACTCTGACTGAAGTCAGAAAATAACCCACCATGCACATGTTTGCTTGTAGGTGTCCAATCTCTCTGGCTTGAGTCCTGCTTAAAGCACATCAAGGTGGTAAGACTGTAGGGCCGGATTCAGACATGCATTTATCAAACTGTTATCGGGAAAATGCCCCTGTTTTGATCTCCTGTTCATCATCTACAACTTAGAAGTTCTGGATTTTTACCATGGCTTTCAGTCATTGGGCAAATAACAGTAGCCAGGGTTTTTTTTTCTCGTCTTAGACACATTGCTGCAGAAGCAGCTCTAGCTTTTATTACTGATCATATCACAGAGAATGTTCTTTCAGGCTGCGGAGGGAAATATTGATTGTGAGAAAAAGTGAGCTATGCAAGACCATTGAAATGATATCAAAACACTGCACTGCATATTTAGTGTGGTCTCAGAAATAAATGTGTGTCTGAATCAGGTTCTACAAGTTCAAGGGAGTGGCATTAAAGCTCTACTCCTTTGTCAAGAAAGGTAAATGATTTTTGAAGGCAATTGCAGATTATTTTTTAACAAGTTTAGAGGTGCAGTTTTGCTTGATTATATTTTAAAACCAGCTCCCCATATCTCCAACAGCCTCACCAGAGTTTGACCATGATTACTGCCTGCCCAGGTCTCCAATGTGGCTGGCTTCCCTGAATGGTACTGATCTTCAAACCCACCAGACTCTTTAAGAGGCTATGTTTTTAATCCAAAGTGAAGTGTATTCTTGTAGGAAGCACTGAATACACAGTTGTCAGTTCACACAAATCTTACGGTACCACAGTAATGTTGCTGTAAACTCATGATTGTGATTTTTTTTTTCTCTCATGTGTGCATTACTCTCTGAAATAACAAAAGCTTGTTGCCCTCTTGATTCTGTTATTTACAGTTCTCTGCCAAGGACCATTTATTTTTGCTGACACTGCCCAACATGGCATTTAAGAGGAATGCTGGCATTTTGGTTTTGGACCACTCACAAAAACAAACCGTATTGCTTTTATAACAATGAGTCATTAGTAATGCACTAATAAGGATTTGTGGCTCATGACCTATTTTTGTTTCATAATTATCTTTTATTACCCCCCACTCCCCAACACACACGCACGCACGCACACACACACGCACACACACACACACACACACACACACACACGCACACACACACATATATATTACAACTGAGAATTTTGGGCGTTTAAAAGCAAGTCACCAACCAATAGCCAGAAAACAGGCCTACACAGCATGCTCTTAAAGTATGCAGTTACATATTCTGGATAATCGGTTAAAGTCTCAACTTATTGAGCAATGAAAGATTATCCCACTTGAAATGAAAGTTTAATTTTTTCTTTTTTAAGACTTCTTGTAAACCCAACTTTTTGGCAAGAAAAGTTATATATGCATTTATCCATAATATTCCAAAGGCTAAATCTTATTTGTCTCTATCTGTAACCATGCAATTGGCTCCATTACCCATGTTGTTTTTTTGTTTTGGCAGAGCGCAGTCAGGACAGTGAGGTGGTGTTGCTCTCAGACTCCAACTCTACCCAGGATGCCTTCACAGATCCCACCAGCTCACAGGACAGCAGCCACAAACCTGCCTCTGGGAAAGTCAGTTCATTATCATCAGAAAGTACAACCCCTGTGAAGGATGGGCAGCAAGCATCAGAGGACACAGGTACATAGGGCTTTAACTAGAGACTTCACATAAAGACTTTTCAAACTATTCCTAGATTCTATCTCTCTGCTCTTCACCATGTCTGTATGTTTGCTTATCTTTTCACAAAAAGGCTAAATGTACTGCTTCCATTTCTGCCCTCACACAAGATCTGCCTGAACTTGCAACTCTACAAGTTGGCTCGCACAATTTCTGCTCCTCCATTGGTCATAACCGCTCTATAGCTCTACTGTGTAGTGTGTAATACACAACCTCACAGATGTTGTAGCTACAGTTACTTTGATATTTGAATCCATCTTTGCCTAAAATCTCAAATTTAAATTTAATTTCAGCATCCCATGGAGAGCATACTGGCATCCAGACTGAAGAGAAAGTTATCCAGGAAGTAGTAGAAGCTGTGGTGGTGACCCTCCCCGAGGCCTCAGTGCCCAAGGTCTCTGCGGACCTGTGTCCCCATCCTCTTCCTGTCCCAGCCACCCCACCAAAGCCAGCCCACTCTCAACAGGCTGCTCCTCAGACCCCAGCCAGTGAGGGAAAGAGGAAGCCAGAGCCCCCTGCTGAGGTGATCGAGGTGCCCAAGGCCCTGCCTGCAGATCGTGTCGACCAGAGGCGGATGCTGGTGGAAATGTGCATCCGCGCTCTCTTCCTCTGCCTCAGCCGCTTCCCTCAGCACTACAAGAGTCTCTATCGCCTGGCCTTCTTCTACACCAACAGCAAGACTCATCAGGTCAGTCCACCCCTGTTAACTGACGGTTCTAGTCAATTCGCATTGCATCTCAAAGGTCAAGTCATCCATTAAACCCAAGCCATACACCTATAATCAGTATCCCCCGCCATTAATGGTGACTTTTACAGAAGATGAGGAAAATTCTCTGTAATTTCCTCAGAAGTCAAATAGACCTTTTTACATTGACTCTTTCGGTGACAAGTATATCAGAGCTCTGATGGCCATTACGTATTTCTTTCCTGGATTTCTTGTGGGCTTGTAAGCTCTGCAGTGATGCACGAGTTGCTGAAACAGCTTGTGTTGGCTATGAGGCTCTGTGGGCAGAGGTGTGTGTGGGTGGTAGCACAGTGCTCTCTCAGCCAGTTTGGCACAGGGAGGTTTCGTTGAGCTTTACTGTGGTGGCATCCTTCTGTCAGCTCTCTGTTTGTTGAGCCTTTTTAAATTCAGCCTTTGTTTCTACTCTACTCAGTAAGGGTGAATGGGACATGGAAAAGTCCTAGCTCTTTTTATGTTTTATCTTTTTTATATGCTCATTTGACCTCAGAGTACTGTCTGTGCAGCATCATGGGTTTTATGGCTCCCAGTGATAGTGTCTTCTTAAATTTCTTTATTCTATATTATATTCTGTCAGCAGCCACAACTACAAAATTTAATAAGTTCCAGTAAGTAATTTCCATGAGACTCAATTAAATGCAGAATAACTTTTGATTGAGGCTCACACAGTTGATGAGGTTTCCCTCAGTTTTTGCCTCCAGTGGAGTTTTCAGCAGCCTGCCTGGATGAAAGCGAACGCTCTCTGGCAGTGACTTGATGACACAGTCGCTTGATGTGATCCTGTTGACATTGTTTGCTTCCTCACAACCTGACACATCCAGTGTTAAAAGCTTCTGTGTCCCTTTTGTTCTCGGGAAAACCACTGCACTCACATATGACTGGCCATCTTTATCCCCGCTCCAGAGATGGAGGGAGAGGGAGCCTGTAATTTCATGCTATAGGCTAGTGGGATTGTGAAAGATAACATGAAGTGGCGTTCTCTTGCTATCTTTTGAGACAGGGTACTCGTGTCGACACAGATTTGTGAGTCATCACACTGTGAAAAGAGGTCTGCATTTTGCTGATTGCAAATGAACATAATTTTCTCCACTTTTTTTTTTTTCCAGCAGAAATTAAATACTACATGTATTTGTTTATGATATCTGTCAGTCTATTCTGATGAAGGAGGGATGTCCCCAGGGTTTTCTCAAGCAATTCTGTTGTGTTGTGTATATAAAAATGTACATACGAATATATGTGGGTTTTTTCATTTATTTATTTATTTCCTGACACAGAACCTACAGTGGGCCCGTGATGTGTTGCTAGGAAGCAGTGTCCCATGGCAACAGCTGAAGCACATGCCAGCACAAGGACTTTTCTGTGAAAGAAACAAGACAAACCTGTTCAATGTAAGTCAGAGATTACCATGCCTTCATGTTTTTTCCCTGCTCTGCATATATCATCATGTCACCACACATTGCTTAATACATTTCCTGACACCTGTCATCACTGGATTTATTGGCACTCCATTATAGTAACACCTATAATTGTTAAGATCTCATTAACATTTTATACATGAGGCAGAAATAACAGAAAGCGTTTCCCTTGACTGGCTTGTGGAATAAACACAGTTGTTGATGTTTCTCAGCGTAAGACCTGTGTGAGTATTGTGCAAAACATTTGGCATGGTTGTGAAAATTCATGCATGCCTGAATGGTTGTAGTGAAACATGTAATCTAATAAATCCATGCATCATTTTTAACAATGCTCCAATGACAGCGCAGTGCCTTTAAGGGCACTGGCAAATAAAGAGAAAAACTGTATATTTATGAATATATTATAATTTATTTGCTTTAATCTCAGGTCTGTAGTTCCGAAAGATACCAAAATAAATACACGGCCCTAATTGCAGGTGTGAACGCACCTAAGACGCATTGAGGTTCCATTTGAGATCCAGTCACTCAGACCACATTCGGAGGTGGTCTGGGCCACATGTGGCCACATTGTTGTAGCGGTGGTAATGCAAATACATCTTGGGCCACACTGAAGGACTGCCTACTCAACTGACGGCCTCTGCCATAGTCTTAATTTGTCCCGCCACAGTTTCATAATGAACCAAAAATATTTTACAATTTCAAAGGGATAAATGTATTGCTAGGTCAGGTCAGTTCTAAGGTTACTTGATGGACTATACAGTAGTCATCACAAGGCTGTGATATCCTTAAGACAAGTCTTACCACAAGTATTCTTTTATTTAAGGGAAAAGAAAACATTGTACATTGGCCAGTAGCCTGCATAACACAGTCTGTTTTTTATGTGCTCTGATGTCAGGTAAGTACATGAGTTAGCGAGGTACTTCAGATGCCAAATTATCACCTGGGCTACACTAAGTTTGCAGGGTGACTTTGTTCATGTTGAAGTCATTCACTTCTTGGTCTAGCAGTTTTTTTAAAATTGTCTGTCACCTCTGGCTGCCTATCAATGCACAGATAGAGGGTTTCAATGTGATGTCAACCTGATTATTGCAATCATACAAAATACTTGTTTCACATACATCAAACAATATTTTTTTTTATTTTAAAACACTGTATGTGTGGTATTGTGATCATAAAGTTTGGCTTTATTCATACCGCATGGGAGCAGCTAAAGCTAAAGAATCTGAAGTGTGTTGGTGACTAATAATCTCTCTGCATGTTTGCTGTGAGTGAACGATTGGCATACTGCACTTCGGTTTACACTTTACACACATTATTCACATAATTCAATTGGATGTACAAAAACCAGGCTTAAATATGGATCTCTAGATGCAGGCGCTGCTATAATGGAGTCACACAGTGTGAGATTGTTGAATTATCTGCCTCTCAGAATTACAAGGCCTCTGTTGGGTTCCAGTGGAGGAGATTACTGTCTGAATCTGTCATCTGTTTTGCATTTCAGTTTATTTACTTCTTTCCATTTGAAGCCGAAATTAAGTCTTTTCAGTGCGTGCAGCAATTGGCTTTTTAATTTGTTCCTTGTGTGATTTGTCAAAGCCTAAATGCTCTTGCTTTTGTTACAGAGCAGCTCATACAAGCACAATGTCACATCACGTCAGCACCTCATATCAGTCAATTGTCAGGTCATATTTTGTTGGTTCACATTATTTTGGATATGTAGACTGTAGAGTCAAATGCTGACTCCAGAACGCTCCTGGTAACAGACTGTAGAAGTGATGTGGGCCAGGTCTGAGCTGGAGGAGAGCTCTGCAGCGCTCTGGCTCCCACTGGGTTCTCACAGAGCCCCTTCTGGAGGCAAACCTGCCACCCTGACACGCCAACTGTTGGAGCTTTACTGTTCCCTGCAAACCAAACCCTCTTTCTCTACCATAGGACAATGCAAACCTTTGTAGAGAATTGATCAAACATGCCTGTTTTCATAGAGTCTATGAGTTCAGGGGTTTTTTATACATTATTACATTATATTACTACTTTAACACTTCATGTTTTCAGCTCCATGTGAGCAACAGTGGATAACAGCCTTCCTCAAGTTTTTTTCCAACCTAGTTGGACAGAAAGTTGTTCAGCACACAGTTTTTGCCAGGTAGACGTGGACTTTGAACCACAATCTTTCAAGCCAGCTTTTCTAACCTGTATGCAGGTGAGTCACTGAGATGGCGGCTGCGTTTGATCCTGACTAATCATGCAATGTCAGGTGTTTGATCAATATATAATGTGTGTGTGTGTGTGTTTTTTGAGACTTACATGAGAGCTGCCACAAATTGACACAGTGCATTGACCACATCAAACATATGGCTCGACGCACGTCACCTTGATGTCAGGGAGACTTGACTGTCAGCTGAGTACGCACCTCACTGAGCCTGATGGTGAATACTGAGTTCCCTAATGTAGGTCATGATGCCCTACTTTTCCTCCTTGCTTTGGCTGGGTTACATTAACTGGGACCTGCGGTTAATAACCTATATACTGCTGTTGGGAAATGATCCACATGAGGACGTGTTGCATAATTTATGGATGTGGTTGTCAGCACAAGTACTTCGTAGGAGGGCCAGCTCCCTTTTACACCAATAATAAACTTATAATAGTCACACAGTGTTATTAAAGTGTTATTAAAGTAAATAATGTAGATGAAGTTAGGTTGATATTTGAAGAGACAGACGTGGGACAAATGATTAATATTGTATTATGTTATGGTACAGTCTATGGTGATACAGAGGCAGAAGTGTTTCCCCTTTGGCTGTTTGAAGTTTTAAATGATGGCGTGTATGTTTATAATCCAGTGTGCGAGTTTAAAAAGGCTCAGACTCTCACTTCTCTGCTCACTGCTTTGTTCTTGTAATAAAACCCTCTATCGTGCGGTAAATAACACCAGCACATATCTGCTTTTTGAAGAATTATTTTTGGTATTTTGTGGATATATTTTCCTCTTAAATTACACAGATGATGTGGTATAGTCCTCGAATACAGTCATCATTGTGGGCGAATTATTTGCAGTGGAATTATTAACACAATTATTCCCCTGCAGAGTATCAAAGCAGACTCTAACGTTATTGGTCATAATGCCAGGGCCTCTAGCTGCTCAGGACTACTGTTGAGTGATCGTGAGGAGTCCCCGTGTGTTCACTCAGGCACGGCATTACCTCCTCCCTCCACACCGCACACACATACTCTTGCTTACATATTCTTCCACCCACTCACGCATTCTTCATTCTCTACGAAGCTCCAGAGAAAATGGATGTCCTTCTTGCTACATTTCAGACAAACGTAAATCCGTCCTGGTCTTGTAACTTTCCAGAGAACACGTTTTGAACCGATACTGTCTATTCAGAACAAGCTTTCATGTTTGATTCAACTGCTTGAATGCAACTTTGTTTATAGGTAGGGCTCAGCGTCTTGTTATATTAGGCCAGCAAAGTCTTCGGGGGAGCTGTTACACTTATATTACTTGCCTTGTTTTGATGTATGACTCAAACATTTGTGTGTTCAGCTGTGCAATTTGCTGTAGGTGGAGCTCCACTCAACCTTGTTTTTTATTTTTTTTTCTTTGGGGAGGAGTATTGGCCCAATGAATACATTTTATAGAAGTTGATATTTTGATTTGCATGTTTGAGGGTTAACCCTGGCTGCCAGTATGTTTTCCATTGCCTTCTTCTGCTCTTGTGTTCGGCTGAGCTTGACATTTTTCAGCAGTTTTTTTTCCTCACTCACACAACAGGAAGCAGGAAAAACAAGGTGTGTTTGCTTAGTATGTTTATGGTGACCAGCAAGAGGGACACGACCAGAGTTGAAAGAGAGGAAAGGGAAAAAGGTGAGGGCTGTTGTCACTATACTGCTGGCTGAGAAAATACTGTGCGTCTTATCTGTTGAGGCAGCTCTGTTCTTCAGCCTGTGTTTTCTGTGGTTAATGAGGGCTTTATCGATGCAAACCTGTGTTTTTCCCCTCAACTTTTTGTTGGTTCTTTTCCGACATTGGTGTGCCATCCTCTTCATACATCCCACTGCATTGATACTATTGCACTGAGTTCATTTTTCAGCCAGTTTATGTTCTCTAGCTCTTTTCCTGTTGCTCAGTCTTCAGGGTGATCACGCTCTACCCCTCCCCCTGGCTTTTATTCGCTCTGCTCATCTCCTCTCTCTGTTGCACTCGCTCTGTTTCCTCATTACTCTCTCTCTCTCACTCCTCTGTTTGTGTGTGTATTGTGTGGGTGTGCACTAATGGGCGGGAGTTTCTGCGCTTGCCTCCGATTGGCTGGCAGAAGCCAACGACGATTGGCTGTATGCTGTGTATAGTGCGAGAGAGAGCAAGGGAGGCGGGGGGGAAAGAACTCCAGCAAGCTGGGGTCAGGGGAGAGCGGAGATGGAGTGCGTGGGTGTTTTTGTTTTGAGATGGCAGTGTTTGAGAGCAGGAGAGGAACGAGTCAGCTTGTCTGTCAATGGCATACTGAGCCTATAGGCCTTGACTCCAGAGCTACTTCTCCTCTTGCCAAGGCAGCTGCCATTCTCCTCCTCTTCTTCTTCTATTCCTGTCCTCCCGTGTGCAGCTGTGCTTCCCTCTTCTCCTCTCCTGCTGCTCTCGCTGCCCTAGCACCCAAATGCAGCCCACCCCTTGCTCTCAGAGCGTGAACCTCTCTCAGGGTGGAGGCGCTGCTGGTGCTGCTACTGCCAGCAGGAAACTGTCCGAAAGAGTACTAACACAGGTGCCGTGGAGTAGCTTTCTTTGGTGATGGTGAGTCGCTTCCTCTCTTTCCTTCTGATTTTTACAAAATCGAGCATAAGTTCTGTTAATTTTTGTTGTGTGTGTGCGGAGTTAGTGTTATACTTAGAGTGGTACTCATGTACAGTGCTACAATACTGCAAAATAAAAGAGTCCTTCTGAGGCTCTTAATTCTACTTCTGATGTCTGCATGTGAGGTTACACTACTGTAGAGAAGAATGTTGTTGCACTCACTTGCCAGGGGCTGGTAGCATTAGCAGGTAACCAGCCATCTTGATGGTTACTCTAAAGTTGTAGCTAGCTGGTAAAATAGTGAAATTGTAGTTGCCAGAAAGATTCTGTAGTGATTGCTGGTTGCTTCAAGACATATTAATAGAGTTTGTGCAACTTTCCCGCAATTCATATTGTGGGCCTCTGCCTGTCACTGATGGCATGTTAAGACATGAGAAGATGAAGTAGCTGAGACAACAGGTCGAGGGTTTCCCTGCAACAGCCAGCATGTTGATTTGGCACACAAGGAAGTAGAGGGACAATCAGCACATAGTCCCTGCTCTCCATTGTCTTTTTGCTTTATCCCTTTGTAAAACTTAAATAAGTGACTGATTACGATTATTTCATAATGAGGCTTGTCCCTCGACTAATTTCTGTCCTTTTTTCTCTACAAACAAACAAAGAAATTCTTGTAAACCTGTAAATAGTTTGAGGAAAGATCAGCTTCCTTTTGTACCAAGGGATTCTGTTGTCATGTATTTATCCCTTTTTCATCCCTTGTTAGTTTTGCATCTTAATCTCTGTCTGGTTCTTGCGTGATGTATTGGCCACATCCGTGCCAAAGCTGTTGCTCCAGATATCAAGCAGTGATCATATTTTTTTTTGCTCATAAAAAGGGGGAAAAAATGCTTAAAATCATTGCAGTTAAAGTCTTACAAATCTGCTTTAGCTGTTGTGCTACAGCATAATCTGTATAAAGCCATGGCTCTGCTTTCCCTAAACAGATTTGCTGTGGTTGGATGGTTGTCTGATGAAGAACAACTCTCCTCCATTAGAGATGTCTTTCTAAGTGAGCTGAGCCCACCCCCTTATCATACTTGTCTCACTCCTGTTGCAGGCTTTTAGTAATCTGTGCATTGAAAGGTTAAAACCTTCCCAAGCCCTGCCTGATTGCATCATCATATAATAATAAATCTTCTCATTTTCACACAGGCGTTGGAGCCATACACTCTGTCTTCAGAACCACTGGGTGTGAATTAGGATCATTCCACATTCTTAAATTGGATCCTGTAACATAATTTAAATGATTAATGAACATATGTATTCACAAATTAATCTTAAGAAATGCCTTTAACCAAAACTTAGTCACCCCCTTGAACTAAGAATGAAAACTGCATCCCTGATTTAAGAGTTTTAAAGGGAGTTTTGGGTTTATAGACAAGAGGCAGGGGTTTTTTAGGGTCAGGCACTTTCTCAGTGAGCAGGCTGTAAGTCTGTCCTCAGGAATTTGTTTTGTTTTGATTTATTTTTCCTTTCTCTCCTGCTTTGTTCCTCTCCAGTGGCTTTGAAAATGTCATGTGATAATGTGGAGCTGTCCATTAGGAGGAGCATCAGCCTCCCCAGTGCCTTCAGCGGCTGATAGAGCCATCTCATTTGTTTTGTTCCATCCTGATATGGTCATCTTTGTTTTGTCTCACACACATTTTCTGAGGCCGCAGCCGTACTCTGTGCCATGTGCTTTACGGCTGCACACAGCCTAGGCCACCATCTGCACTCGCATCAGTAGCTTCAGAGTGCAGAACCTCGCCTTGCCTCACCTGCTGAGAGGACATGTGCTAGCTGAAAAGGTGGACTTGTCCATCAAAAAAACACCTCATCACGCTTTCTGCAAAGGAGGACTGCTTGTTGGCAGCCGGTCTGCGGGTCTGTTGCATTGCTTGGACAGAGCTGAACACTAATGAGGCTGCCTATCATGTGTGCCCAGAGAGAACCCCACCCCCCCATCCCTCCCTCCCCACCTCCTACATGGCCAGCCAGTTCGCAAGATCTCTCCTGCTGCCTCTCCATCCCCTCATTAGTGCTCTCTGCTTTGAATGCTATGTTTTTAACTCACATTAATTCCTCTTGATTTCTCCTCTACTTTTTTTCCTTTCTGTTTTTCCTCGTGTCCCTGTTCATTGTTTCTGTGTGTCATACCCTCCATACACCTTTGAAAACTTGGTGTAGCAGCAGAGTGCAGCCATAAAAATATAAACTTTCAGAAATTCACAAATTAGCCTGTTGGCTCATTGACATCCACTCAAATCTGAAACCAGTTACCTTTAGACAGTTCCTCCGAGACACCATTTGGCCTCCTTGCCAAATTTTGAATGTTTTGTAGCTGAACCAGGTTTTGAATTCAAGTTCCTGTCAAACTAAAAGTTGAGGCCACACAGAAAAGAGTGTCTGTGCCATGTCCCTCCAGCAGTTTATTGAAAACATATTTTTCCTTTTGTTTGTTGCACAGTCTAACTGAACTCCTGATTCTGCTTCTTGGTTTTTTCTTCCTCATCTTTTCCAGGGCATCTGGCGTATTCCAGTAGATGAGATTGATCGCCCAGGAAGTTTTGCATCTCATATGAACCGATCCATTGTCCTCTTGCTGGAGGTGCTGTCTCAGCTTAAGGATCACGATACTCTGCTGAAAGTTTCTTTCATGCTGCAGAGAACCCCTGACCAGGGAAAGTAAGGACCAACGTCGTATGATACTGCAGTTTCTGTTATGTGTTAGGTATTTGTTTCATGACTTCTCACCTTGCTTCTTTCTCTTCCATGAAGGAAGTATTTACGGGATGTTGATCGCCAGGTTTTGGCCAAGAGAGCATTTTTCCTAACTGTAAAAGTCCTGGAGGACAATCTGAACAGTCTCACTGGGGTAAGGAAGCACAACTCACTGTACACACACACACACACACACACACACACTAAGAGCTGAGAGCCACTCAGTGTTTCAGATGTCTGGCATGCACCCACTTCATGTTTTGACAGGTTCTGTTCTCTTTCAGGTGTCTGAGCAGCTTCTCAAAGCGCCTGCATCCTCCATGGGGGAGATGACCACAACGGACACATCCAACAGGCCCAGTTCAGAGGACAGCAAGCATGCACTGCCAAAGAAGCCTGGGCTCACAGAGGGAGCCTGTGCCACCGACACAGGACCCAGGGAAGCCTCACAGGCACAACTCATCACACCACCACCATCCACAGATAAAGGGAGTAAGGTTCAGGAGAGCTACCCTGGAAAGGTGGAGACTGCTGGGAGTGAGGAGCACAAAGCAGGACCAGAGGAACCCATGGAGCTGGACACTGGCCACTGGAGGAAGCCCACCACCACCATAGATTCTCAGGGCAACCAAACAGAGGCTGAGACCTCCCTGAGTGCTGTGGAGCCTCAGCAGAAAGTGACTGACAGCAGCCGGACAGCAGAGCTATCTCTGGAGGAGCTAAGTATCAGTTCCAGGCAGCAGCAGCCCCAAGCCTCAGCACCCAAAGTCACTCTGGCTGCCAGTGGGGCTGAACAGGGTTTACTACGAAGGCCAAACAGGAAAAGGAAGCTTCTAGAGGACGTTGAGTCTGGAAAAACCCTACTGCTTGATGCCTACAGGGTGTGGCAGCAAGGCCAGAAAGTCATGACCTACGACCTGGCACGCATTGAGAAGATCATGTCAGAGACTTATATGCTCATAAAACAGGTATACTTCTTCATGATGTACCACACCAGATCCCTGTGCTGTACACATACAGTGTTGCTAGTGTATGTGCCTCTATAATTTTTTGTTATTTTGCGAAGTCATGCGTTCTTGATATGAGCCCTCCTAAAATAATTTGGGCTCGAGAAACCCCTCTTCTAACTGAATTAGTAACATAACACCCACTGTAGAATAGGGACTTTCCCTCTTTTCAAACACTGCGACACATCCAGCACATAAAGTGTGGTTTTGCTTTGACTCTCAGTAACCCACATTCAACCTCTGTGTCTTTGGTCTCTCTGCTGTTACTTATGAAACAAGTTGCTGACTCTAAACGTAGCACCACTGGGTATTTTTTTTTTCTTTATGTTGTCACATGTAGGTGGGGAGCTGCAGTGGATCAGTCATTGTTGATTTATTGTTTTAGATTAAGCTTGTTAACTTTATACATTTAATCACTGCATTGACACAATTTAGAAATTGCAGTCATTGGCACAGAGATTGAATTCAAAAGCAAGTGCTAAATCATTTTATAGTGTCTATGTCAGCCAGTTTTTGCTCTCATACAAATGAATGGTGAAAGCCTTGTTAATGTAATGGCACTAGAGCTGGTGCCAAAGAGTAAAAATGTATGTGGCATAGCGCCATTGCAGAGACAAAGGTCTGCCTGTATTATAAGATTATTGCAAAATTTGAAGCCTTATGTCTATTAAGCATATGTGTTTTTAAAATTTATAGTATTCATTTTATATTATACATTTTATAGTAATTTACGACTGCCCATAGTCTAAAGTAGAAGCAGGGAAAGGGCTGCTGAAAATCATTATGTTAACCTTCTCCTGCGAAGGAATTGTCAAAGAAGTCTCTCCAGAGCAAATGTTCCTCAGTTGTTGAAAGTAAGTCCAACTTCAGTGCTTTCTGTGCTGCTGATGATGTAGTTGCACAGCTGCCCACATCAGCTTATATAGCCATATTGAGCTGATGATCAATGCTGGCCCTACAGAAGTTGCGATGTCACTGGCTGTGTAATGCCAAAGCGCTGTAGCTGGAGTGGGAGGGCAGTAAGCGAGGGACAGTAGAGGAGGAGAAAGAAGAAATCTGAGGAGATTCAGCAGCAGTTGTTTTTTTAGGTGCTTGGGTTACAGCTAAGATTTTTTTTTCTGTGCTCTTTAAGAGAAAGCAAAGACAATATTTTCTCAGACACACCCTGAGATAGAGTACCCAGAATAAGCCACGACATGTTTCCTATAACAAAATGAGTTATGCAATTAATATGTCTGGACATTTTCCAGAAGCATCTTCTGTGTGTGTGTGCACCTACTTGCACAAACAGCAGATGCTTTGTGGTTTTATGGTCTGTTGCATTGCACAGCTGCACATAGTCGCTCTTTAAAACTGTATCTTGCATCATTTTCATTCTTGTTTATGTTTTGTCAGTGCCTCTGCGTATTTCAGTCTGATGATTTCCTTTCTTTCAGCTCACTGTTAAGGTGGTAAAATTTCAAAGAGCTGCTAAATCATGTGTTCTAGACAGACGCAACATTTCCTGCCATCAGAGTATTTTCAACTTGACAAGTGAAGCATAAATGCTGCTCAGTTTTATCCATAAAGAAGCCAGCTACGTATCGTCATGCCAGCAGCCCTTCTGTATTTTTATGGCCCAGAGCATTGCCTCACAATGTGTTCAAATGATAGCTTGTGGGTGTTAATGACAGCGTAGCAGTTCCACCATGTTGGTCCTCCAACCACTCCCCTCCCGAAGGCTTCTCTCCTCCAGTCTGATGCAGTCACTTTTTTAAGTCTAATATACACAATACTATCGAATGCACTATGTCCTGTCACATAATGTGAATGATTCTATTCTAGAGAAATGTGATAGACATGTCTTGTTTTATTGTAATCATCATGTGACATTTAGAAATCACCGCGGGCAAGTGTGTGTGGTATGAAAGGGAAAGTTTGCTGTGAGCTACAATGATTTGAAGCAGAGGGCTGTCCTCTGTGATGCGCTGAAGCTTGACTCAGTCCATTTAACAATCGGCATAATTTTAAATCTGGAATGAGGCTGCTGTAAAATCCCTCCCTTCGGGGCTCCCTGAACCACTGCATACAACACACTGCTGGAGGGAACATAACAGCTGTGTGAACAAGATTACTGCTAAGTGTACGATGTTGTGCTGTAGCTCAGCTTGCCAACTCTCTCACACCCACTCACTGAACTGGGCCTTAATGTGAGTCTTTCTTCACTGGTGCTATGATCAGAGGGAGAAGCTCAGAGGAAAATCCCACCGGCTCTCAGACAGAATCTGAAGAATTTGTCGTTGGTTTGGCATTAGTGTGGAGATGTAACATGGTATAGACACGGGAGAGTTCGCTTCAGAAATGTATGATGAATTTGCAGCTGCACACATGCTGCTCCAGTGTTGATTGAGGATGTTCTACTGAAATGAAAGAGAAAAAAGTGTGAAAAGATTTGACACTGTGGAATATAACCACGATCATGTGAAGATATGTTGCTCTGACCTAATGTCCCTGTTCTGCATGTTCTCTCTTCAGGTTGATGAGGATGTAGCTTTGGACCAAGCTGTGAAGTTCTGTCAGATACAGTTGGCCACTTCTGCCCAAAGACAGGTAAAACAATGTAACTCAGCTCACCTGCCATCTTTCTGCTACCTCCACAACTTCTCTCCCTCCTGTGCATTTGTGTAGTTTATAGAGAGAGTTGAATGTACACTCTGTGTATACCTTTTTTACCCAAGTTGATGCCACATATGTCTTTTCCCTCATGTAATGGAATCGGATTTCCATTGTAAAGCTTAAAAGATTCAAGCCTTTATGATACAGCAGCAGCATTAGACTTGAAAATAATGGCAAAAGAAAAGATGCCCTCATTATATATAGATAATAATAAAAACAAGGTTTTTGATTGCAGCAGGTAAAAGTTTGGCCAAACAGATCATTTCTGATAAGTTTAAACCACCTTTGCGCTGAACTGACACACTCAGGGTTAATTAAAGTCTATCCCCCTGCATGATAAACATACGCTTTACCAATCAAGATAAAAATTATCTATCTGACGTGACCGGTTTGTGTCTACCGTTGTGTGTGTTGTGTTTTGATGAAGAGACCAGGATATAATTGGAGGTGATCTCCGTTTAGTCTCTCTCCCATAGAGTACACCAGCACATTAAAACACAGAAAACATACCTGACAAAAGAGGCAAATAGCAAAATCCTCCAATCAACTGCGATCATGTAACTTAGCCACTACACTGATTCAGTGACACTAAGATAGAAATTGAACTCTTAACAGAAAGGCTAAAACATGGAAATTTCTCTGATGATGATGTTGTAAAGGGGATAGGTAAAGGAAAGAGACCCCCTTTATAGCAGAGACCCTGCGGAAGTGAACGTAGGGATACAGAAACGGTCTCAAATGTTTCACATATTGACTCTTGAGGTCTAGCATGTCTTTTTGTTATTTTAATACTACATATTACTGCTGTATAATTTACACTGTTACACATATTACTGCTGTAGAACTGACTCTGTTGCACTGAGTTGTCCTCATGTTATCCCACCCATCTGCCAATCCAAGTAGGTTAAATGCTAATTTTACTTGTCTGCGGTGTAGCTCATAATAGCCAGTTTAAGGATAGATGTTCTGTTGTCATGTCATACGTGGGAAAGTAACATGCAGCATCTGTAGTAAAACGTGCCAAACCAATGAGTAACTTGGTAATTCCCAGACTTACTCAAGTCTATCCTACTCTAGCCTGCCAGTACTAAATATAGCCCAAAGCGTGATGTGAATGCACCCTGTTGTCTCTTCAGCCTCACATGCTAGTTGCCAAACTTGTCATCAGTTTCAGCTGAGCATTGGTATGCATGTGGCTTTTTTGCACAGACAATGTGCATATGATTTATAAGGCAAAATAACGAATGGAAATATCTAAAAACATGAAATAACTGTCTAACTGCAGTAAATATAATAGGTTCAGCTAGCGCCTTTTCTTCATATTTGTAATCGAATCATTAATTGCGCTGCCTCATCCTGTGTCGGTGACTCCCTCTCCTACCCACACAGTCATCAAGGGTCTCTCTGCCCACATCCTGTTGTCACGGTGTTGTTCCCCGAAACCTCAGGCTCATGAGAAGTAGTTGTGGGCAAAATAAATCTGTTTTCCTTCTTCACTTATCATATCATCTTATTTTCCGCATGATGCTTTTGTTGTCTTTGTTCGTTTCATCTTTTCATCCCTTTGTCTAATTGTCACGCATAAACACGCGACATGGAGATAATGGTGCAGATGAGGCACAGAGCTACAAGCCACATTTCTCAAATATGTAAAAACCTGGTTGGAATGAAAATCTTATTTTACTGAAACTTTATATGTTTAGATCTCAATGATATCTTGATGCACATTTTGAAATTGCTTTGTCTTATTTTATTTCAAATTAAAATGCATTTGACTCCCATGTAATTATGCTTTACATCAAAATGTGATTTGAGATAAATACAATTTAGAGTTCAATACTTTCTGCAGAGTCGCTCAAAAGAATTGAAGATGCTTAAATAGAAATAAGTGTCAATCAATGAAATCACAGCTGAAATGACTACTACTGTCAAGTAAACATGATTGCTGTTATTTCAGGTGTACATAGCATGATTGTTGTCTTGTTAGGTATTGTGATATTTAGCCTCTTGTATGACAGGGTGTTACCGCATAAGAGCTCGCTCTGCAGTCTAAGTCAACTGCTGTTTAAGTGTAATTACTTTGCCGCCATAAGCTCATGTCACGGTTCGCATTTGGTTACACTTGAATGTAGTGGGAAATGTGAGTAGGCACGTTGGAGTTCTCAGTCGGTGGACATAAAAAATTCTTACAGATTCACACATTCCTTCAAGCGCCCATAAGGGCAGAGCGAGATGAGTTTGTCAAGTGCTGAGGCGGGAAATCGACTCTGTTGTTGCTCTGTGCTTTGTTTGATGCCACATCGGGAGAGAGCAATGTTTAGGGTAAATGACCTGTGCTCTTTGTTACTGTCAAGCAGCGACTGTCAGATATATTTTTACTGGAGGTACTTCATTAAAACAATGCAGTCTCACTCTCTCTATATGAGCAAAGTTTGAAGAATATTATTGAGTTTTATTCATCAAAGACTGAACGTTTGCTTCACAAAACAGCTCTAGTGTCAGTTCCCTTTGGGCAGGCAATTTAATTAAAATGTTCGGTTGGCCGGTCTTTCAATTGTGTTGGAAAGATGGCCCAACCTGTACACAACATCTACAGCTGCTCTAATCTGATTTAAAGCCCAATCTGGATAATTGCAAAGAACCATCTTTCAATTCACATTGTGGAACCTCAGTTTGGCTGCCAGCAGCCCACTCACACCTCTCATTGAACAACTTGAGGAACCTACACACCGGCTTCATGCTACGTGCTGCAATATTCCCAGGTACAGTGTTATTGTAATGCACATGATCCAGCTGACTTGTTGGTGTCTTTGTCGGCGATGTTTAATTCATGAGATATGAATCATCAGAGCTGCTCTGGAGCTGGTGCATGCTTGAAGCTGCTGTGCTGCTCCGTGTTGGACTGAATGATTTGTTGCCGTCTGAGGTTTTGGAAGGCTACTCTTGTTTGTTTGATTTGCCTGTGCTCTGCTGTGTGAATCCCGTGGGGAGCTTCATCATAAACAGCTATGATTCAGAACACAATTTGACTTCAATTCCCAGCAGAGAGCCTGAGAAAAATGGTACAAGAGCTCTGTTACTGCCAGATGATCTTGTGCTAACATACTGCATCTTTCAGAGGTTGTTTGTCGTGACACAAGTGTAATGTGGCCCTGAACACTGCCTCAAGGCTTTTGAAATTTTGACCAATCAAATTGATCTGGGACTCAGAAGTCTGTATGGCATTTGAAGTCATAATTACTTTTTAAAAATTGGTATAATCATGGCAGTGCAATTATGTTCCACTGAATATAAAATTTATTATTTCTTCAGCTCATTAGATTTTGCCACAGTTGATACATAAGACCGAAGAACTGGATTTTAAGGCTTAGAAAGACTCGTTTTCATCCAACTTTTCATCCATTTTAAACTGAAAACTAGAGAAGGTGTATTCACTTCTTTTAACTGTGCTCCTCTGTGTTGCCATGACAGCGGCCGTGGGAGCAGGGCGGCTGTTGTCACAGGTTGTTTGTGCAGCTTTTGTGTTTATAAGTGGTCCTCAAAAGGACACCCCGGAAAGTGGCTCAGAGGGATGTAATGTGGTGTAGAGCTGTGCTCCTCGCCAGCACCCAACACACAGTCCTGTACACAAGTAAGCCTCTGAAAACCCCAGGGGAACGACATCGCAACTCTCTAAAGGATATCAGTACTTTGTGCAAGAGCCAAGGCTAATAATGCTGATGCGTGTTGTTTGAAAAGTGCCGTGGTATCGACTGTGGCTCACTCCGTTTTTCTGGCACTGAGTCTCGAACCAGATTCTTTCTCCGGGGAAGAGGATGTGCACTTGTCTAATCTACCTGAGCAGAGGATGGTTCGTGCGGCAGATGGATGCCTAAGGTCAGTCACACCTCCTCACAGGCACTGCTCTTCTTCTGTCTCCAACAGTCTGCGAGCGATGCCCCAACCACACCTAAGTACACCAAGGATCACCGAGACATCTTCTTCCCGGCTTCCCTGCAGACGCCCGTCTTGCTCAGCCACTCCACCTGCCACCCGTTGTCCACCCAGGACGGCCAAGCCAAAGTGGTGTATGAGCCCCTGAGCAAGCTGTCCAGACCTCAAGCCTCGAGCTTCCACGATCAGCCACAGCACAGGAGAGCAGCCAGCCACCCTGCTGCAGCCATGGCTTTCCTACCACACACAGGTACACTGGCCTTCATTCCCACCATCTTTCACCACTACATGGTTGTTCAGTGTTTTTTGCCACAGTTAAATCTACCTTAACAAAAGTTATTGCACTCTCTCTAATGCTGGAGTGATTTAAAAAAAAAAAAAAATGAAAAAAAATGAAATGTTCTTTTTGTTGAAATTGTACTGCTGCTGAGGTGGAGCTTTTGCAGTTGTCAGTTCAGTTTGTCAAGCTCCCCACAGTCCAAGAGACCAGCAGGGGGCGCCTGTGGACTTCCACAGATCTGTTATGTAACAGCAAACTCTGGCCTGGTTAGATTTTGCCTTTTGGGTTTTGTCAGTCCCCCAACAAGAGTTTTAAAAATCAGTGTTCACCAGATTGAGACTGTTTTTCTTACTATACGAGCTTCTGGAGGGGTTTGGCATAATAATTGCTGATCCTCATAATGAATATTCTGGTGGATAAATATGCTGTTTATGTCATGTTAAATATGTAAAGATATAATTTCTACACCCAGACTTCAGCCAGAGTTCATCTGATGTTCTCTATGGAACACCAGCTCAACCAGTGAGCCTGAATCTCCACTATACAGTATCTGGTGGTGCTTTCTTCTTAATATTTGAACCCCTTCTTTCTCGTTATTGGTTTTAGTTGATATTTGTCATGTTTAATAATCATTTGGTTTCCTGTATGAGGTCAGCGGAGCCATTAGAGGGAGTAAAGAGAGTAAACAGCATTTGGAGACACTGAAGTCAATCCTGTTGTTGTTGTTGTTGTTGAGGCAGCTTTCATTTCTTTTCTGTCAGATAAGTGCTCAGTAAGAGGAGCTATTGAATTTGGCTCTCATCCAGATGTCTCTTCTGTTTTTGTCCATTTTCAGCTAATGGACATGGTCTTTTTACTGCAATCTCTCAAACCATAGCTAAATTTGACCTCTCTGATTTCTCCACATGTCTTGTAGGTGACAAACTTGACACAGTTGTTCTTTTGAGATTGAGTGTGACACAAATGAACGCCATTAGGACTTTACTCAAACTCTTTTAATCAAGCAGAACCATCTAAATAGGTGACATTTACGAAGGAAAACCAAACCAGCAAATCACATGGCTGCTGGACCACTGTACTTTATGGATAAGATGGAAACACATTTAAGAAATATATTCACATACATTAAATGTTTACATATTCATGTTTATCATCCACCCTTACAATAATTCAGAAGTCAATACAAAATCATATTTGTCGCCTTCTGTGACAGATAACAAGATTATGTTTTGATTTTTGATTAGATTTGGAACAATGATTTTCTTCACATTTAGATAATCTCTTCAAATCAGTGACTGTAAGGCTGCTCTTTACAAACAGATTTCAAAATACAAATGATATCAATGTCACATTATTCTCTATTAACAGACTCTTTAGTTTCACATTTTGTTTCTTGGCTCAGTTTCCTCTTGAGCAGAATTTATATCAAGATATTTATAGGTGAAAAATCCGCCACTAAAACTAAAGTGCAAACCTTTAATGAATTATCTGTCAGAGCTCAGCAACATGGCAGAGACACTGAATCCTGTTTTTTAGTCCTTAATTGGAAAGCCACAGCAGAACAGAGCACAATTGTATCACCTTTTACATCTACTCTGTGGTAAATTCACTGAACCTGTCAGCTTAATGTCATCAGAAAGAGAAAAGACCATGATGTAGTGAAATTCAAAGCATTTATTTTCAATCCGTAGACACTGATTACATCAATAAATTGAGTTTAAGAAAAATGTCTGTAACCTCCGGCTGGATGGTTTCTGTGGATGTGTGCAGATACATGCAAAAGCAAGTTTGCACGCACACAAACACACACACACACTCTCACACACACGCACAGGACACAGGTTAGCATCAAGCCACACTGCACCAATGTGTGTTATGTAATGGTTTCCTAGGCAACATTAATGGAGAAGCCTGGAAGAGTATTAGATCATTTTTGTTTTCATTGTGTCACTCTGAGCTGCAGGGGGAGTTTTACACTCATTTCACATGCAGCCATTTCATACAGTGACTTGTAAAGTTTAAGGACCCATTTGATGGTGACTTGAAAGTTAAAGTGAAAATGCCAAAAATGTGAAGATGTATTTTCTCACCTAAAATACTGTAAATCTTTATGTCCTGGCAACAGTCTATCCTTTTGTTAGTGTAGCACATTACTTACTCTACATAGAAAGTTCCGTTCATATAGTTTATTTAAACAGATTTTTTTTCAATAGTTCAGCCCCTTCCGTCAAATAAAACTTCTTTCTTTTACTCATGTGGCATCATATCCATAAACACAGTTTGGATGTATGGCCTCAACATCTTGGTTCAGTTGGAAAAAACATCACATTAAAGTCAGACATGTGAATACTGCTTTGTTTAGATGGGCCAAAAATACAGAGAATCAAGGCTCCAAGTCTTGTTGACAAAATGCATAGAAATGTTAATGTGGGCGTTTCTTGTTATTCATGGTTTTTTTCCATGACTGATAACATTGAACTCAGCTAGCAGTGTTGTCAATTGATTTTCTGTTAATTCTGTTCTGACAAAACTGCTGCTGATGTTTTAACATGTATTTTATTGGTGTATTATTTTTGCCCACAGAGGAGCGGGAGGAGCCGTCAGAGGGACTTTCATACCGACAGCAGGAGTCGCACCTTTGTCAGCAGATGAAACTTGCCACTGTATCTCAAGGGCAAGAATCAGCAGCAGGCTGGTTCCAGGAGGAAACCGCCACATGTAGCACCGCACAACCTTGCCCAGGTCAGACCCTTTGAATCAAAAGCATGACAGAAAGAAGACTTCATGAGCCTTGAAAATGTTTAAATATTTATGTTCTCCTGTCTCAGACCAGCAGCAGTATGCCAGCAATGAGCAGTCAAAGCTTCCAGACCCCAGCCGAATTCGCTCCCGTGTTCCACCCAACATGCCAAAGCTTTTCATCCCTTCCACAGTTACCAAGTTCCCACCAGAAATCACAGTAACACCTCCGACACCCACACTTCTCTCCCCCAAAGGCAGCATCTCAGAGGAAACCAAACAAAGACTTAAGGTATGCAGTCTGCCTCTAAACATGTATGCCTGTGAGTGTGTGTGTAAACAACCATAGACCCAGTATATCCGTTTGTCTAGTCCAGCACTCAACAGTGCCCCCTGCTGTCTGCTCCTGTACAGAACGTCATCCTGTCGTCTCAGTCTGCAGCCACAGTCAAAAAGGACACTCTGAGCCAGCCGGCGCTGGAGGTGCAGGAGACGTCCAGCCAGGAGTCGTCTCTGGAGAGCGAATCGGACGAGGAGGACGATTACATGGACATCTGAGGCCCGGTGTGCACACTGACACTGAGCTCTTCTCACAACCTGGCCTGACTCTGCCAAACCCTGTGCCCCTGTCTTTAAAAAAAAAAAAAAAAGGTATGGTACATGTCACTGCAGCTGTCTTTGTTGATGTTTTTTTTTCCCTCACGTGCATTACAAAAAAGACTCCCAAACACACTCCCAAATTAAAAAAAAAAATGCAGTATTGTCATTGCCTGTCATGTCACTGTGTTGCTGTGCTTGTCAACAGTGATGGTGTGCATGACAGACGATGATGGCTTTAGTCTCACAGCATGTCTGTAATGTGCCATTTATGCATATCACACATCAGCTTATTGAGCTCTCGTGCACCCAACTGTACGCTGGATCCGGCAAGAAGGACTGTCAGCCTTTAAAGCCGACCAGAACCAGTCCTGTGTTTATGCATTTTTTCAATGTTGTGTGCAAACTTTTTATCTCAACGCTGCAGCTAAATCCTTGAGAACTTGCCAATCTGAGGTGCCTCAGTCTGGACTGACGCTCAGCAGCATGTACCTGCTGTCCTCCACTTCGATCGTTTCCTTTGGCATGAAATTTTCATCGGCAAGATGCGTAACCTTGATACATGATATATTTCAATGAACATAAAGGTGAAATAAGGACAATCGGCTGCATTCGAGGTTCGTCTGTGGAGCTAACGGCCGCACACAGCCTCACAACCTGTAGCAGATTGGAAATGTTTACACTTAACATTTGGGATGTTTTTCAGTTAGCACTTAACTTTGTGCTATTTTTGTACTTACTGTATTTCTTGTAAAAAAAAACAATAATTGTCCTATATATTTTTCTTTTGTTTTGTGTGCATTTGTAGCTAAGAGGAACAGTTCTTACCAGGAGGACGTCCTGTCACCAGCACTGATCTGAATGATACAGAAATGGGGTTTCCGGTTATTAGAAATTAGCTTTTGTACGTGTCACGATCCAAATAACTTTCTGATGTGTTTGGCTTTAATGGGTCGAGTATTAAGCTGGAGGAGTGTGTGCATGTGTGAGAGTGTAAACATTAAGGTGAGGGTCGCTTTGATTCCAATCAACTCAGGAAACGACTCACCGTTAACAGACACTTTCCGTGATCTTTCCTGACTTCAGTGGAATTGAAATGCATGCAGAGGAGGACTTTCTAATACAGATGCCTTTCCATTTAAACCATTTTGGTAAATTTGTCACAATTTTAGCTTAACTCAGAGGAAGACAATAGAATGTTTTTTACAGATTGTTTTCTATAAAAAGAAAGATATTTACTGATTATGTTTTCTTGAAAGATGTCTAAAAATAGTTTTTAAAAAAGACGCAAATAATTGTAAACTATCACCCTTGATTAAAAAAAAACAGTTTTGTATTTAATTTCATTATTTTTGTTCTTTTTTTTCTTTTTTTTTTTGGTGTAAGATTGTTTTCTATTGTTCTGCTGAGCTTCTGGGAATGTACCACGGCTAAAGAGGAGACCGGGTTAAAGGCTTCAGCTCAGCCCGGCTCCCCTGGCTCAGGCTGCTGGAGGGGAACTGTTCTCTATGTCTGGACTGAATGCATTATAGATGTCAAACCAAAAATATATTTGAGAAACACATATTTGTTCTGTGTGCTACTGTGCTGTGTGCTACTTCAAGTATTAACCCACAGGGGTCCTCACATCAGATATGACAGCCTTTTGTTTATACTCCGTGTGAACCCTCAGCAGAAAAACTGAGGTTTGATAGCACCATCTGTTACTGCTATAACTACGAGTTATTATAAGAACACACAATTCACACTGATGCTGGAAATCAACATAATAATTATCTGTAGATATAAAACACAAGCATAACTATCCTATAGAATATCTAAGAACTTGGATGCATTTTTCATATACTTTAAGAATTCAAATGCAGCATAGGTGCCCCACTGGACACAGACAAACTTTCCTGTACATCAAGCACAAAAAACATGTTGCCTGTGCAGTGTTTCAGAAAACTATAATGCATGAGAAATCTATTATTATTATTATTATTATTATTATTTATATATTTTAAAACCTACTGCGTCACTTAATAATTCACTGCAGATGTGGTTGACATTTTACTGCCAGTGTGACCACCTTTAATCACAGTTTACAGCACCAGTCTTAAAGTGATGCCTTTATACACACAACAGGAATAAATGTAAATTGTGGGCTTCCAGTGTCGTGAAAGTTTTTTCAACTATGAACCTACATTTTTACTCAGGATGTGAGAGTATTTCTTAATTATTTCCCAGTGTCAGTGCATACTTGTAACCCCAATATCATATATATATTATATTGACTTCATTGCTTTCATTTTACCAGGTGAAAGTTTTTTTTTTTTAAATGAGACTTTGACAAGAGGGCTGCATAAAAACATTACAACATTAAATACAATACAAACATAAACGGGATGGGAATGTTATAGTCCCATCCTGTTTATGTTTGTATTGTATTTAATATACTATACAAAAAAAGAATTTTAAACTGAAGAACTTATTTACAAGGCGTCTGTATGCTTCTAGGTCTGGCACACACTTATAGGACATGCAGCTAGTCTTCTGCATCGTAGGAGGTGATTGTGAAAAATATACAGCAGTAACTTTTGCCACCATGGACATGGCAGCACAACATTTTCAAGTTTACGTTCAGCTTGTGTGGCTTCTGAAACTGAAACCATGTTATATACGTCCGTCACTACCACCACTCGGTAAAAGACTCTTATTTGACTGTAACAGTGAAATTCTTTTTGGCTGCTAATGGAACACAATAAAAAAAACATCTCTGTCAATATGAGAGAATGGTGATCAAAACTATCAATGACAAGGATCAACTTGTGTTGATGCTAATGTTTCATTACAGTGAAACTTTGTGTAATTTCTCTCCCTTTTAAATTATCTTGAACTCCAGACGTAATATCAGGAAAAGCCTCTCGCTCCTGTCACCGTGCTTCCAGTGGAGCTGTGGAGTCTCTGCAGTCCTGTAGCCGGCAGACCACCCCGCTGACCACATTGACTTTGTGCTCAAAGGGCTTGTACACTCTGGTGTGAAGTCTCCGACACGAGGGAAGTCATTAGTCTTCATTAGCAACTTCCAGGAGTTTCTTATGAAGTGCTGTGAAGTTGTCATTTGCCCCCTTTGCCAGGCAAGCTAGATTTGAGGTTTGTTTTCTTATGTGGTCGACCAAATGTGAGCTCACCCGGCCCCTCGTCGCTGCATGTGAGATCACGGTCACTCTGGGTTTAGGCCTGGGACGCCAGACAAGACATTTCAACCTTTTTTTTGTTATATTCTTATTTTTCATAACTAACTATGATTCATAAAAGTAATGATGCACTGGGTTATATCTAACAATATCACACTCATTAGTTAGGAAAAGTCAAAAACATAGTATATGCCTGGGTGCCATGTTATTTGTATGTAGCAGCATCTCAAAGCATATAAAGTCAAACTATAATCGACCTGTTCTCTTGCCCTGTGAGATTGTTCAGTCTCCTGTGACATCACGTTGTTTCCAGCCATGGGGCTGCTATCTCTACAAACCCCTCAAAGTGGCCAATTAAGCATCAAAAGGGCATGCTGCATGGCTAATGTGAGCGAAAGGTGTGAGATTTCTCGTCAGTCCACTCCAGGGGCTCTTTATTGGGCTGCTAGAGAGCCGTCTGATCCCCGGGCCCTGGCTGTATATTGGCAGCTGTTAACTGTTGAGCACAAGGGGATCTGTGCAGTTAAAGCAAATGGCCAAAGACTGACACCTGGGAGGTGGAACATCACTGCTGAAGGTGGTCTGCCAGTAGATGCAGGGAGGAGATATCAGCAGAAAACTGAAGATATCTGAAGATATCTCTGCTCAGTCATTTTGTGTTGTAGGATAGTTGCAATCACACTTGAACATTCACTCTCTGTAAATATTAGTAAGCAGCTACATTCGTACAGCGTATTTAAATCCCACCATGGTTTGCAGCCTCCATCAGTCTCCTCCACACGACCTCCCTGATGTATCATCCAGTCCAACTCAGCCCCAGACTGGCTGTTACATAAGACGGTGCTCGCTGTCATCCCTCTATGTCCCTGGACTTTGTCCCCAGGCCATGTACCAAAGCCTTTTACCAGTCACACCTGTCACCCCCAGACCCAGTGTGTAATGGGATTGACACTGCTGCTGCTGAAATGTACACCTCAGCTCTGACACGACACACTTTTCTGCCGCTGGAGCCGAAGCCATCTGCAGAGAATTTATCAACACAATCATTTTCATTTCTCGTGGCATCTTGCTCCCAAACATCACCCGAAAAACTGCGTGAGCCCTGTTGCCCCGTGAAACACTTTAAGGCGATCCCCCCCACGCGGGTCCCACAAAGGCGGCTTTAAGTGAGGAGAGCCACACTGAACCTGTGATTAATAACTCCTCCGCAACAATTGGTTTCACATAAGGAGGATAAAAACACATCGCACTTCCTCAAGGCCAATGTTGTGCCACCACGTTCCACTGGGGAGAGAGGGGGCGGGTGGCTGCATCATCGGGGCATTTAACATGCTAAAATGATAGTACAGAGCTCTTTGCATCTTTAAGTGCATCATTACAACCACAATGTTATTGTCTTTTTTATTCTGCATCGACCCAACACAAAGAAGCGGGTCAATATTTTCACAGGAAAAACTTTCTTGCAGTAAAAATCTCTTTATGCACATTTAACTGCTGATGCGACACAGCGCCGCGGGGACCATTTCTGCGCCACTGTTAAAATCCTCCCATCATGCATTACACGTGGTTTCGGTTTCTGGTCTGTTATCCATACAGCTGCACAAAAGCAAAACATACCTTTGTGTGTAGGTGTTAGAGAGCTGAGCTCACAGAGGGCCAGTGTATGCAGCACGCAGACAGACATGAGAATACAATGAGAAATGGAAGTGGAAGTGGTGTGTCTGTGCTAGGAAAGAGGATGAATGAGACGTGAGAGTCGCCTCAATTCAAATGTTCATGTCAGTGGAAACAAGAGGGGAGCTGTGGTTTGTTTTGTTTTGTTTTTTTTTTTTCCTCTATGCTAATGCTGTCAGTGTTTAGCATTTGTTTTGCCTGCAGTAACACTGCACACCGCAGGCCGAGACGAGCCTATGAATACTGACACCCGTGGATTCTGGCTGGATGTGGATGGTGGGAGGACGGCTGGGTTGTTGCAGCAGGGTCTTTATTCTCGGACCCCTCCTGTCCCATTCAAGGCTGACTTGGGCTTGTGGTGCTAACTGGCTGTTAATTGCCTGCCCGTACACGGGGCCTTCTCCACATGCAGAAACTAGCTCCTTCAAGGGAAACTAGTTTAATGAGATTATCTATCAGAGCAGGGGCTTGTCTAGACACCCCAATACACAACCCCACCCCCAACCACTGCCTGCAGTCCTGTGGGCTGCAGTGGATGCCCCCAGGTAAAAGTTACCTGCAGAAAGAGTGCATGTTATCATCATTATCACCATTATGGGTTTACACAGACTTTCCCACCCACTGTGTAATTTCTCTGATGGAGAAAGCTGAGAATTTTAAAAAGGGTAAAGGTAATCATATGAAAATGAGAAATTTCTATTATTTTATGCACTCACATGTCAATATATTGTATGTACAATGATAAATTTGAGAATGACACTGTAAAAATCTACTTTGACTCTTGGAAACTGCTCAGGTGCACACACAAACCTCAGTGGGCTACTCCATGTAAATTTACCTTCTACTGCAGTTGTCTCACTCATGTCAAATGAATTACACCGGGTATTTACTACATTGCACAAACACACTAAATGGCATTTTCGTGCGTGGTTATATCTGTGTGAATGATATTTACACAGACTCTGGTGCCGCTGTGAAGCCCTGATCTGCAGCAGAGAAGTCCGTCCATATTTGTTTTAAAGTCTCTTAGCAGTTAATAAAGATGCATTTCCTCCGCAGCCCTTCCTGTGGGGATGGTATCAACGCTCTGTTAAGTCTCTTTGATTTCCAGCACCCTCCAATCACAGCGGGACATTGACTCATGATTGTAGCACTTCAAAGCATGGGAATGGCTCTCTTGACCCCACCCACTCCAGGGCTCCCCTTAAAAGTCACGGTCACCCCATCCTGCAGGACACAAGATCTCTGAAATATCTGGTGCAACAAGGCTGACCCACCGTCTGACTTCCTGAGCTGCTGGATATCTGTTTTGTTTTTGTTTTGTTTTTTTCTACCCACGAAGGAGGGAGAGCAGAGCTGAAGAAACACTTTGGATTTCACTGATACTTGGATTTCTTACTGACCCTCAGTGCATGAACCTTTTCAAACATTTCCTGTGCTACTCCTGAACCTGAAGAATGCAGTCGATCAGAGGTGAGTGCTGACTTGACTTTCGTAGATTCACACTGGGCTTTTCAATGAATAACCACAACCTCCAAACCAGTTTTACCTTTTATCAGATCATGGCGTTCTCAATCGTGAATTCTGTCATTTTTTTGGTGAAGCATTGCTATGATGAACCTTATCGTCTTCTAGACTTAAAGCCCAACTTCAACGGCCCTCCTCCCTCCTCCATGGCTGCTGGCCCAGATGCTTATCTCCAGGGTAACATCAGGATGACTCTGGAGGACCCTGAACTCTGGAAGACCTTTCATGAAATAGGGACGGAGATGATCATCACTAAACCGGGGCGGTAAGCTGACAAAAAAAAAAAAATATATATATTTAATGCAAAGTGTTGGGAAAGTGTGTGTTGCTGTGTTTGCTTGTACCTCTTGCATAAACATGTGTTTCCCTTTATGTTTTCCAGGAGGATGTTTCCACACTGCAAAGTGAATCTCTCCGGCCTTATTCCATGTGCCAAGTACATCTTACTGGTGGACATGGTCCCTGAGGACGGCTTCAGGTATAAGGTAAGACAGCAGTGATTTCTCCTTCACTTATTAATGAGTCTATTCTCGATCTTAGTTGTTTTTAACAGAGAAGAATTTCCAACACAAAGTAAGTAGCCTTGGCTTACTTACAGCAGCCATGGCTTTGGCTGTAGATACCCCAGAGTGGTTACCACTATCTCCAGACAAGACATCCCCTGTTTGTCACCCCCCCCACCCCCACCCCCCCCACCCTCGACATTGTACATCAAAGGGTGCTATCTCTTCCTGTTTTTCTATCCCCTGCTGGGAGCCCACTGTACTACCCCCTATCTCTGTGGGTGGTACTGGCCAGCCACCACTTTCCACTCTATCAACCTCCTCTTACACTGTGGGAAGGGAAGACTCTGTAAATCACCTTGCTCTATGACAGACTGACTGACTGACTATCTGTCTCCTTCCTACAGTTGAATAAAGAGAAATGGGAGGTGGCAGGAAAAGCGGAGCCCCAGCCTCCCTGCAGGACTTACCTCCACCCCGACTCTCCAGCCCCGGGGAGCCACTGGATGAAGCAGTCCGTCTCCTTCCTCAAGCTCAAGCTCACCAACAATACACTCGACCAGCACGGTCACGTAAGTACGAACACTCAAAATGAGGTGCTTGACAATAACCCTGTATGTCCATATGGTATCCACTTTTTTAAAGGATGTTGGATAATTAAAGTACTCGGTTGACAAACTGGTGATGTGTTCAGACGGGACGCTCTGGCTGTGTGTGCTGCAGTTCCAAGTATTTGAAAAACATTATACTCAGAATCAATCACTGTCTTTCTATCTGCAGATCATTTTGCACTCCATGCATCGGTACCACCCGCGCTTCCACATCGTCCAGGCAGACGACCTGTTCAGTGTCCGCTGGAGTGTTTTCCAGACCTTCACCTTCCCCGAGACTTCATTCACAGCAGTCACCGCCTACCAGAACACCAAGGTCAGTTCCTGACACTTTAAACCAGCACAAGCTGCTGGCAGGACGTCACACAGTACTGACATTTTAACTGAACTCCTTTAACCCCTCCCCCTTGCAGATTACAAAACTGAAGATTGATCACAACCCATTTGCCAAAGGTTTCCGGGATGAAGGCACAACTAAAAAAAGGTGGGTATCACACTAGTCATATACATGTACTGGTGCTGCAGCTGCAGAGGGCCCACAGAAGTCAGTTTTCCCAGCTATGCCTCTGCAGTAGATTGCAGTGAAAGTAATGTATGTAGTATTGTTTTAATGAACTCCATGTTCCTCTGCAGGCGTACAAACAAGAACCCAGCCTGCCTTGAGAAGCGGCCGAAGATGTCGAGCATCCTGAACAGGGATTCTGATGATGACAGTCCACAAGGTACAGGTTCAAGACTCTCCTCCGCCTATTGATGTTTTTACTTTCTGGTCCTGTATTCCTAAATTTATCTGGTGGTTTATGTCTCCTCAGATTTTTGCCAGTCATCATATGAAGGGTATGATGGAGAGGAGGGAGAGCTTCCCAAAAGGAAAGAGGTTGATGTTGTCAAAGAGGAGCGTTACTCCCCGTGGGCTGCTGAGCGGGAGCACAGAGTGAGGACTGAATCTCCTGTCGGGGCAGACGCAAGAGATATGTACAACGCAGAGCAGCTTGTTCCTGCTCCAGCTTCCTACCAGCCCTACAGGTGAATACTGATAAAATAATGTAACATTTGAGAATGTCGTCTCATCCTGACAACCGGAGCACTGAACAACTTCCTGTTTCTCTTCAGGTTCCACGAGTATGGAAAGTCTCCCTCTCCCTCCTCCAGCATCGGCAGCAGCAACAGTGGTTCAGGACGCAGCAGCTTTGAGTCCAGAGTCCCTGATGTCGCCACCGTCCCCGATCATGACTCTTCAAAGCCCCGTACGCATGAGACTGGCCCTTCCCCCTGTGGCCCCCAGCACCTCCCTGGCCCCCAGGACTACACCGGGGTCCTCAACATGACCATGGCACAGGCCGGCAAGCCAGGGGTCATCGGCCACCACATCTACAGCCCCTACAGCGCGGAGCAGCCCCTGGGCCAGTGGAGCGGCCCCAGTCCCGCCCAGTATCCCCCTCCTCACCATCTGACGGCTGACTACACCACACAAGCTGTGCACCATGGCTATCACCATGGCAACGTGGCTGAGTGGAGCCAGTACCCACTGTTCTCTTATTCCTGCTGGTGAAGGGATCTTCAGTGCGAACTGCCGGAGAGTGACTTTAACTGATGCTGCTGCTGCGCCATCTTGCCAGACAGCTGATCCAGTGCTCACAGCTATGAGAATGCATGCCCAGACAAGGCTGAGGGCCAGAGGCCTGCGACAAGAATAGAAAAACCGAAAGATGAAAACAAGTATAAGGAGCCGCCTGTCTCTGTTCTCTGTTCAGAGCGGCAGGATTCAGACTCGTATTCTGAGTGCAACTACTGACGTGTGCTGCGCCACACTGATGGATTGTTTTATTAATTGTCTATTTATTTTGTATTTCATCTCATGTTCCAGTGTAAATATTATTTTTGTAAAAAAGAAAAAAAAAAGAAAGGAAGAATAAAACGTAAGTGTGCAATTTATATCTGTCTTCAAACTGTGATGTGATCTGAAAATAAAAGCCTAAAAGTAATGTGATTCTGTGTGTGTGTGTGTGTGTGTGTGTGTGTGTGTGTGTGTGTGTGTGTGTGTGTGTGTGAATACGCTTACATTTTTTTCCCTATCTTTTCACATTAAGAATCAGATGCATCGTTTGGAGAAACACAATTATAACAGAAAATCGATTCCCAGCAGGAATTAAATACAAGATAAATTGACCTTCTTTATATGTAACATTTTGCTTTTCTCACTGGATGGTTTAAATGAGACAAGTAGTTTTCCTTATTATGCGTTATCTTTTAATTCAAACAGAGTGACACTCATCTCCCAGAGGTACAAAAGCAACAGAATCTCTGATTACTTCTCAGACCTTTGTATCTTTTACTGACCGAGGAAATAAATCCTGGTTTTGCCAGTGATCAAGTTTCAAATAATCTGTTTATAATTCTGATTTTCATCCAATCCATGTTCTGCACACAGCAACTTTACCGAGCGAATGAATGTATTGTATAAGTGTCGTTGTCTGCGGGTGCACATCTGCATACTTTGCACCTGGCCAGCTCTGATAAGCAGCACATCCTTTGGTGGTGTTTGTTTGTATTTCCTCTTTGTTGATCTAATGAGGACCACTCTGTAGTTTCGACAGGCCCAGCATGCATTAAAGACATTGTATTACCGTGACTCTGGCTCACCTGCTGAGGTTTACCCACCAACATCATAAAGCATTGCACAACTCTCGTTCTCCATCTCAATGAGCCTTAAAAAGCATGAAAATGGGGGGCTGTTGGCTCCTTTTCACTACTGAAAAACACAGACTGGCCCATCGCCTCCACCCTGGGTGGATATGAGCTGCTAATGACTGTTGTAAAGTCCGGGGGGGGGGGGGGGGGGGGGGGGGGGGGGGGGGGGGGGGGGGGGGGGGGGGGGGGGGGGGGGGGGGGGGGGGGGGGGTGGGGGGGGGGGGGGGGGGGGGGGGGGGGGGGGGGGGGGGGGGGAGGGGCGGGGGGGGGGGGGGGGGGGGGTGGGGGGGGGGGGGGGGGGGGGGGGGGGGGGGGGAGGGGGGGGGGGGGGGGGGGGGGGGGGGCCCCTTTCGGTGGGTGGAGGGAGTGTGCAGATCATACCCGCTATATATACATATACAATAAATACACACACTAAGCTGAAGTGAAGACCACCACACCGCCTAACAGAAATAAACAAGCACTGACCTGCAATCACAGTGTTGACACATTCATACAGCAGTGACATGGCAGAGGTTACTGTGAGATAGGAGGACGAGGTAAGAAACAGAGAGAGAATGCAGATTATTATTGTTGTATTCATCACATCGGATGACTTTTTACAATTGAGAAATGTTTAGAATTGAGGGATTTCATCTCAACCTGTGATTAGGTTTGTCAGAGGTTCGATCAGCTTCTTCCCCAATCGGTGGCTCGAGTGGTGTGAGGGCACCAATACTTTAAAAAAACTAAAAACCAAAAAAAAACAGAAGTGCCATTAGCACATTTTAACTAGAATAAATAGGAAAAACATAGGATTTCTACAATGAACTATTGTATGTTACAGATGACCTCAATTACATTAATGGTAATATTGTGCTATAGTTTACCTGCATTTTTAATCATCATGCAAAAGAAAAAAAAAAAAAGGAACCATGAAGCTTGTTAACTTCAAATAAGGTGGTTGCTTTTGGAACATAAACAGAGATTTCTATGCATGCAACCTGTCATACGACTACACTCCATAGGTTACAGAAGCCAGCTCTGGTAGAGGAACTAGAAATCAATTCCTCTTTTCTGATGGATTTGTCCCTGTACAATTGGTGCTATACTGTCCAGGCACAATTCAGCAACCCTTAAACATTGTGTCCTGTTGACTAAACCAGCCTTGATGATCTTAATGAGAAACGCCAGTTATTTAGTAGAGGAGGTCATGAAGTTTGAAGAAGAGCGTGGGCCAGAGACAGGTAGTTCTTGGGATTTCTCCGGGCAGATCACAGAAACATTTACTGCTGCTGACTGCACACCTAAAGAGGGAGAAATACACATTAAGAGAGGAAGCAAGGATGAATTAACTGTGACGCTTGTGTGTTTATTTGGTTATCGGCTTAAATTAAGAAATGGCTCAAAATAGTTATGCATAACGAACAGGAGTACAACACAGAAAAAAATGTATAAAATATATGCAGTTTGACAATGTGAGCCAAAATTTTTCAAAATGATCCATGTATTTCATTAATGTGTGTAGCCATTTTGTGAACTTCACCTCACAGAACTGTGAAATATCCTTTCAACACAGTTGGAGGCAGCCTATTTTTAAGATAAAGCAACTTTCAGAGTCCTCAGACAAATAAAAAATTGGATTCACTAATAAAGAGTAAATGAGTGGAAACACGCACTGCACGCCATTGTTATACGCAAAAAACCAGATAAATGTCTGTGGAGATGCTTGTCTGTGCATACCAAAAAATAGTTCTGTGACCTCTGTACAGTCCAGACAGCCCTGACAGAAATCAGCAAATGAGCCTTCCTTAATCTTATATTCTTGGCTGCTGAATAATTCACAGGGTTCAGGTGCCAGAGAACGCCCGTCACCAGCAAGTGCCAGCATGGGGTATATGATTTAGCTACTGGAAGGAGTAAAAATATTATTTTTGCCCAAAAAAGAGCACCAGACCAAAAAATAAAAGAAAAAGCTTTATTTTTCCTCAGAGCAGTAAATTGTGGAGAAAAAAGCTTCGGTTAAGATTATGGAGAATATGGTGCATTTCCTGATACCTGGGTCCTGGATCTCCATTTCTAACTTAAGTCTTGGAAAAGCAGGGCGGGCAAGGGACTCTGGGTACTTGAGGAACACCTTGTACATGATCAACACTGCTTTTTTCTGAATGGTAAGGTTTTAGTGTGGTGACATCTAAGGGAAGGGAAAAGAGCAAAACAGTAAGGACAGTTTGTTCACCAAGTTCAGAGGAAAAAGGAGTAACACCGTATGTCTTGACTGCAAAGTTTTAAGCGTAAATAAAAAGGTGGGTGGAGAAGTGGGGGTGGGGGGGCTTCAAGCGAGAAAAAAAAAAACCCAACAGGATAAACCCTCTGGGTAAACCTCCTCACATACTCCCATGAATCACCAGTGTATGAATGTCCATTGGCAGTGTCCTCAAGTGCCAGGTCCGGGGGTAACGAAAACAGGAAGAGGCCAGTGAGGGCAACACCAAAGTGGTCATACTGGTTTGGGACTGCTGATGAATCCTGGCAAGTCCATAAGACAGAAAAGGTTGGCTGAGGGATGAGATAACACTCAAGAGATATTCATAGAAGGAAATAGACCAAGACTATAACTGACCTTTCGGATTTGATTGGTTTGTCAGCATGATGAATCAAGTGCTCTCGTGAAAGCAACTGTGAAGCGCGCGCCAGGTAGGCCTAATCCTATGCAGGGAAAGACCAAGCCACAGAGAGATATTATATGTTGTGCTGCATTTTATCTGTGTAACTGGATAACTGTTTATTTCAGTACATGCTAGCTATCACAAAGTATTTACCAACCTGCAGCAGTTCCGCATAAGAGTTTTCCACGCTTAATCAATCTGATCAAATCCAAGACTAATCATTATATTGCAGTGTACCTTGTAAAATGATAAACTTTTAGAGGAGACTCATGAATTCAACGATGTGAGCGGCCCAAGCTGAACATCGTAGCCCAGCATCCTGATAGCTGTAACACAGGAAAAGAGGGAGAGAGTGAAGAGATGTGGGTGAAGCAGAAGGAGGAGAGGGCTCTACGCTGTCCATAATGAGCTGAGCTGAAAGCTCTCAAAGACATCACTGATGCAATCGCAACAAGCCATCTTACACTAAAATGCAGGCCTTAGGCTATAAAATAGAAAGAGTACTTTCATTTAAGCACCATTGCACACTATTCACAATAAGTGCTGGCTTCCTGGCTTGTAGTGACTAACTCTTCCAACCTAACAAAAACCAAAAACATTCTCATGCAGCTCGTGTACAGCTCTCTTCTACAAATGTATGAGGTGGTTTCTAACCAGTCCATTCTTTTGCCCCTAATCAAGGCGTGAGCCAAAACAATGGGCTTTTGATTCAGCATGACGATGTCTTGAAATAAAGATAATATACAAAGACTGAGTCTGCATGTGGTTTTATCCCTTCTACAGTCATCAGCAGTTTGAAAAACAAAATGTTTCATTGTGTGTGTCAACAACACTATACCACACCTGCAAGAGCATAAAAACTGTTTGAACATATTGGAAGACACGAAAGTTCAAT